TGAGTCCTGCTCCTGAGCTTGCCACAAGCAAGAGCTGAGATGCCAGAATTCCTGCTCAGTAGAGGCACACATGGGCAGCACAGGAAGGGCTCACATAGAAGTTTTGTAGCCAGGCAGGACAGGGACCAGCATGAAAACAGAGATGCTGGGTGAGCTGGAGGGTCCAGGTCCTTTCTTGTCTTTTATTGCCTCAATTTCATTCCCTCATGATGCTACTGACCAGAGAGAAGGGGGAAATGCTGCCTCTGGATGTTCGGGAGGGACTTAAAATTGTGGCATTAACATCCACTATGTTTACGCAGGAGAGAAATGTGTGTGCAAGGCAGACTAAATATCTGTTAGAAGACATTGAGTGGGACAACAGAGATCATGCCCATGGGTGCCAGGGAGGAACACCAACTCTGCGTGATACACTGCGAAATATTTTTGGATATACCTTAGACCATACTTTCAAGACATAGCCAGTGCTTCACTCAGCTCCAAGAAAAAATTTCCAGTTACCAAAGGAACACCCCAAGAGTCACACCATGTTCCTGAGAGTGTTGTCCAAATGCTTCTTGAACTCAGGCTCAGTGCTGTGACCACTTCCCCGGGAAGCCTGTTCCAGTGCTCAATCACCCTCCAGGTAAAAAAGTTTTTCTGTATATCTAAGTTAAACCTCCATTCCTGCCACTCATCCCTTGCAGCAGAGAACTGCTGCAAGGCCTGGCCAAACAGTATCTCCTGCCATCTAGAGGCTTTCTGCATAACCACGAGGGAGGGTATCACCCACACTCACATGTGACCTGATCCTCAGGCTCAGTTAAGAGCTTCCACAAGTCCCATCTGGAAAGCGTGTGCAGAAACTACTCACAGTGAGAAACCAAGGTCAGAAATTCTTCATGGGAGTCTAAGGAAACCACGTCTTTACTTCGCTTGCCCTCAGAACCTCCCTCACTTCATCACACATGATCATGTTTTATCTTGAATTCAGCTTGCAACTTCCATTTAGAAAATAAAAAGGCTTTTTTTTTTTTTTTTAATTGAAGGTGTTTATTTCCAAAAAGGTGATCCTTCCCCTTTATTCAGTATTCCACACTTGGAGTCCACTGTGTTGAGTTCTGCGCTCTCCAGTACAAGAGAGATATGGACTTAACAGAGAGAGTCTAATAAGATGCCACGAAGGTGATGAGGGAACAGGAGCACTTCTGACATAATGAAGACTGAGAGACTTGGGAGTTTTCAGACTGAAGAAGAACACTCAGTGGAATCATGCCCCTGATGCACGGGAGTAACAAAGATGAAGCCAGGCTCTTCTCAGTGGGGTCCAGTGACAGACAGAAGTCACTGGTCACAAATTCAAATACAGGAAAACCCATTTAAACAAAAGAAAAACATTCTTTTATTGTGGGATGGTGTTTAAACACTGACCCAGGGTTGCCGAGATAAACTGTGGAGTTTCCATCATCAGAGATCTTTAAAATCCAAGAGGACAAGGTCTTGCTGCAGCTGACCCTCCTTTCAGCAGAAGGAATTGGACTAGACGATCCTCAGTGGTCCCTTCCCACCTCAGTCATTCTGTGAGTCTGTGACCATTTTGTCCAATAAATCCACTGTGGAAAATGTCTGGAGATTGCGCTTTGTTTTTGTAAAATATTGGTTCTGTTTTTGTCTGGCTGCATAATGCAGTAGGTGGTATCATTCATAGATTTGTATACTTCTTCAGGTTGGAGGGAAGCTCTGGAAGTCAGGACCACAAAGCAAGGCCAACATCAAAGCTAGATCAGGTTACTCACGACCCTCTTCAGGCCAGTTATGAGCACCTTCAGGGATGGAGTTTTCCCTACCTCTCTGGGCTACTCTCCCTGTACTTGATCAGCTCGATGCTATAAACATTTTCTTAATACTTCCTTGGAATTTCTCATGTTGCAGTCTATGTCCACTGCCCTTCAACCTTTAACTGTGTGCATCTCTCAGAAAAGTGTGGGTTCATCTTCTTTACGATCCCATCAGGCCACTGAAGATATCGATATCAACTAGATCCATCACTGCCAGGCAAGCCTTCCTTCCCCAAGGCTTGAACAAACCCAGTGCTTGGCCTTTTCTTGCACATCCTGTGCACCAGTACCCTAACCATTGTGGTCACCCTCTGGTTGATCCACTCCTGTTTGCCCTTTACAGGAGGGCAGATGGTACTCCATGCATAGGCTCACCTGTGCTAAAGAGAGAAGTACCTCACTGAGCCCACTTGACTGTGTCATTGCTAATGTAGCCACAGGCTGAGCTTCATTGCCACAAGTATGTGCTTCTTTGGTGTGCCATGTGGAGGTTCCCCCAGCTCTTTTTCTGCTGATGAGGTCATGCTTGGAGTTGGGTGACACTGGCACTGAGGAGTTATGGCAACTGCTGACACCTGAGGACCTGGTCCCCATGAATTTTCTTGACACTGTGATTACTGCACTCAGCTACAATCTTGGTGGTGTTCTCCTTCGGGTGCTACTTCTCACTAGGGTTATATTTTTCACTGACTATTGTGGTGCAGTTGGCAGAGTCCTGCAGGAGTGCTTCCTGCTTTATGGGACACACAAGCATGACGAGAAAAAGAGCAGCAGTACAAGGCATGGCTTTGTTTTCAAATGTTAACAGCTGAGGGCCCTCAGGCAGGCTGGCAGAGCTCCGTGGGTGGGACTTTTTCAACATCCACAGATGCCAGTTTTGCCTTAGGAAGCAGAGCTACTTCTGCAGCACTGACCTTATTCCCTTCTGCATTTACCTTACTCTCTTCTGCCAGAAGAAGACAGCTCTTCACATGAATAACATCTATCTGCCTGGTGAGAAAACAGGACATGAGTTTTGTGGACAGAAAACTGTACAGTTTCTTGTAGGGAGGAACCACAAGCATCATTTCACATTGTTCAGAGGGTTGGGTTACCTCCCACGAAGGCCTTCTATTATCTTTCCAAGTGACACCCAGTGCCTCCTTCATCACCAAAGAGCTCTTCTGTTCACATGCCGGGTCCACATGCTGGGCTTTGGCTGCCCCTGAGAACCCTTAGCATCTGTCACATGTTGGCAATTGTTCCTGATGCCTTTGAGGCAGAAATCCCAATTCTCACAAAAATATGGTACAGTGATCAGAGATTAGCATCTGGAGTTGACCAGGGCCAGACAATGCTTTGAGCAGCTTCTTTGCTTGTCTTTTCCTCCCCACTCCTTCCTCCGTTGTGTTTTTCTCCTTTTCTTTTTAAACTCTGTACAATTCCCCACCAGGCAGGGCCCTGGCATCCCTCCACCCCTGAGAGACTTGGATCAGAGGCGGTGCAGGCCCAAGCTGTATGAATTTTCTCTCTGTGGGGATCCTCCCTCTCTTCCATCCTGTTCCCTCAAGAATCATTTCAACAAGAAGGCAGGGGTAGTGCAACACCCTTCAGAGCCTCTGAAGGGACATGGCATTCTCTGAGCTGGCGCCAAGGGGTTGAAGACAGATGTAGATGTGGCTTTGCCAGTAACAGGGGCATGGGAGGAGAGCTGACAGAGGAAAAGACCCATCCCTCTCTCATTAGCACCATCTGGAGCCGTATGACATTCCCTGCTACATAGGGCAGTCACAAAGCTGTACAGCTATTTCAATTCAGATGAGATTTAGCTCCAAGTGGGTGTGCTGCTTCTCCTATGGTGGCACAGCAGGACCAGTGTGTCATGGGGACAGCAGGGAAGTAGGGAAGGAAAGGGGAGGGCAGCCCACTGCTCAGGACACTGACAGAGTCTTGGAAAGAGAATCTGGATGGGATATGGCTTTCCTGACCCACATGGCTTTTAGACACCTCTGTAACCACCACCTCTTAGGTGAACAATGGCCAAGACCAGTACCATCTCTTCAAGAAACTAGCTAGTATCACAATAGTATGTGATACAAGGGGCAAAGGATGCAAAATGTGTCAATCAGATCACCTCATGTTACACAGAGAATTTACCCAGACCTCAAAGTGAAGGGAACAGGCTGCATACCATTGCACTTCATGTTTCCCTGCTGTGTCCCACTGCTGACTCTGCCCCAGACGGTTTAGTGTCATAGAAGATTCACACTGGAAGGGAAGAGTGCCCTTCCACCCCTGCCCCAGCACTCTCCAGTTCCTCCCCCGCTGAAGCTGCAGAAAAACAATGATCTCAGCTCTTCACCCATAATGACATCCTTGAATGGGACTGTCCCACCCCAAGAGTACTTCCAGAAGGGAATGAAGGAACCATGTCTCTGCAGATGAACAAATCAAGATCTACCTATGGTCTCTAAAGGTGAAGTGCAGCTCTTCTGCAAAGCTGCTCTCCGGACACTCACCCCAGCCTGTATTGCTGCAGGGACCAACCTGTGGGACTTTTCACTTCCCTTTGCTGAACTGCATGAGTTTCCTGACATCTCATTTCTCAAGCGCATAGAAGTCCCTCTGATGAGCAGCTCTGTCCTCTAGCACATAGACCACTCCCCAGCCCCAGTTTAGTATCAGCAGCAAGCTTGCTTATGGTGCACTCCACCCATTCACTCCATCCTACTGTCCAGGTCATTATACTGTACTGGCCCCAGCACCAGCCCCTGGGAGTGGCACTTGCAACCAATTATCATTTTGCCTTTGCACATTGAGCCTCAAAACACAGCTAATTTCATATCCGCCTTAAAGTCTAACTATCCAAGCCATATTCCACCAATTTTGCTACAAACAGACAGTGGGAGACCATACCAAGCACCTCACACAAGCCAAAGTCAATGAAATTCACTATTCTCCCCTCTGCACAGGGGCACTCATCTCAACAAAGAATATGATCAGCCTGGTCAGGCATGATTTCACCTTTGTAACTCCATGCTAACTGCTAACCATCTTCAAAAGGGAACAACACGTTCGCATGCTTCCAGTCCCTTAGAAAAAGTTGACACCTACTCCTCTCCCAAGGAGGACTTTTCAAAAGCTAACAATTTGTCACTTTGTCAGATTACATGACACAGATGACCAGAAAGGATGAAACAGAAGTGGAACCATGTATCATAGGTTTATTAAGGAAAAAAGTTATACTTCTAGACCATATATTTTGCACTGTACTGAAGAAAAAGTGTGAGAATAATTAAAATGTTAAAACCCAAATCACCATGAGAAAGAAAATGCTATTTTAATCACTTTAGTCCCTTTTTTGTTCCCATACAATTTAAAATAACTACAGGAAGAAACTCAAAAGGTGTTAGAACTACACTACATCTAAGCTGGAATAAGAGTGAGAGATGAACCAGAGAATGGATCAGCCCCCCAGCTATACCTTTTATTCATGTCAGTTTTTGCTTTCTGGTTTGGTTGGAAAAGATTTCAGTAGTATTCTAAAGGAAGTGTATCCCAATTGTCCCTAGGGTGGATCATAGTCCAATGAGCTTCCTGCTAGTTGACTCCTGTACGGGTGACTTGGGTTTCTTTCTGGAGGGCAAATAAGTTAAAAGCAGTTTCTAATTTGCAACTTACTCATCCTATGCCTCTGCACAGTAACGTGAAAGATACTGACAAGGAATAAATAACATACAAACTAAGATGAGAATGGATTGAAGAAAAGTTGCACTACAACTTTTAAATAGCAAAGTTTAACTGATAGAAAGTTTAACTGATGCTGATAAACTGCTGTGTATGTGTTTTTGCGGGACTAACAGTGCCACTCTAACATGGATAGAGGGGTAGATTCCCATTGATTGTCCAGTCCAAAGGCTGCCAAGGAAGTTTGACACAGGTCTTTGATCAGTAATTCAAACGTTAACATCAACAGTACTCACAAGAAGAACAGAGTTCTTTCCTTGGTTAATATATTGTGCATAGCAATATCTCAAAGAATTAACAGCACCTTTTACATAAAAATTCCAAACATATTTATCTAGTGAACAAGAAAATCTCAGGATCTCTAAACAGTACTTCTGCAAATGTACAGTACTGTATTTATATAGATATAGATACACATATATCTCACAGTGAATTTACACTGTGACCTGGTGATTAGTCCAGCAGTGGGTAAACCCACCGGGTAAGTCTTCAGGAGAATATATTGCCTTTGGTGGGTGGCCAGTTACATGGCATGATTGCATAGGGGAGCCCCATGGAGAAAAGGACAGTTTAGCATCCCATTAAGCAAGCACAGCATGCTTAAGTCGTTCCTGTAAGATATAAGAAACTTTCAAATTTTCATGGCTAATACAGTTCTGGTTTTCACAGGCTGCACACATTGCAAACTCCTCTCTGTGCCTTAAAGACACATAGGAGGAAGGTAGGACACCAAACTTAAATCCTATCCCTGCTTCCAAGCAGAAATCAAGCAGCACCACAGATACAGGCTGGTAAAGGATGTCCATGTTTGGCTTCACGAGGGTTTCTTGAGCATCTGCTTTTCACTGGTTTGCCTCATTTACCTTTTGTTATTTTACTATTTTTCTTTTCCAAATCAGTTGCTCACAGTCCTCTGGCAGAAATAATTCGAAAAGCATGGTCTGCCTAAGACAGGAAAACAGACTACTACCATTTTCCTGGGATGGGCACGCCACACTCATACCAGCCCACGTAGTAGTAGGGTGTTGTGTATCCAATGCGTCCAAATGATACAGGTTCCTGGCGGTACTGGCGGTAGTACCCTGTCAGGAGAAAAACAGCAATCTGTATTCCACAACAAAGACATAGTAATTTAACAAGAGTAACAGATGCAGTGAGAGTCAATCTCACAACCCAAATGAAAACTTAGGAATAGTCTGGTAGACAATTGTGTCAAAAGGGTATTGGCTAGCCCTGGTATTTGGTTTAGATCTTTCTTGAATGATCTAATGCTCGTCCTTCATATTTCTTGTGGCTTTGACTGGTTTTACTGTCCAAAATCTCTTTAACTATTGTGTAATGCTATGGTCTGCCAAAGAGCTTCTGCATTTAACTCCAAAATGACGGCATATTTCAGTTGTGTTTATCAAGTTTCTAAGTCAGTTTAAAGGACTCTGGGGCAAAAAATACCATCAAATCATATTATCTCACAGGGCTTTAGCAAGCATCAGCTTTTCAGAAAACAAAAAGGTATCATTTCATGCAGTAAATATTGAGTTAAGCCCTCCCTTCCCATTTTTTCTTCATCTGCAGAAAGAATGTGACTGCTTAAAGCATTAGAAGAAGTGCAGCATTCCTGTTCACATAGCTCGTGCATTGGAACATCTGAAATGCTCATGGCTTGTGCCAACAATATAACTTCTGTGTGCTCTCTATCTCTGTCTCCTAGACCTAGTAATGCACATCTGGATTAATCATCCCTCTTCTGAACTGAGAAATACACTACTTCCCAGTGATATATAAATATCAGTGACTATTTCAGTTTCTTCCTGGTAACACCACCATCAAAAGAATATCAACAAATAATTTAACATAGAAACCATTAAAACTAACTGAATAACTTAAACCAAGAGACTTACTGAAAAGACTGGATGACTTTCATGATCGGTTTCCTTTTGTGAAGCAAGTTGTCGCCCTCTTGGCTACATGACTGAGCAGTTTACTCAGAAGAAAACTCCTTCAAGGTAAGAATTTTCACTCTGAGAGAATTACCTACCAGGCCAGAACAACAGTACTGACCTTAAGTCACTAGACATACTCATTTGTGTTTTGCATTGAGTGATCTGGTTAGAAACCATTCAAAAAAGCCATATTTGCAAAGATGTTGCTGGTCATTCTTGGCACATGGAAGAGTTTTTGCACCTCAATTCAATGAGGCAGATCTTATCATTAAGAGAAAGGTTTCACAGACCTATACAATTGTTTCTTTATGGTTTTGCATTTTGTTCCTGTAAAATATTTGCCTTATATGCCCCTCTCTTTCTGTCTGTCTATATCTCTCCACCGACAAGCTCTCTGGGACTTTTATAATCTCTTCTCACCTACTGCATCAGCTGGACTCCTCAGAGAGCTGCCAGCAGCTGTGAACAGTGCTCTACTCTGTGCCCTGTTCCTTACCCCTTAATCCCACAGATGGGATGGCAGGCGCCTGGCCAGCATCCCACTCCCCCATTGCTGTACCTCGGATGGTGGGCAGGGCTTCAATGTATGACTGAGGTCCTGTTCTTCCATCCAGGTGTGAATCCACAAATTGGCAGTGGTCCTCGCCCCTTCCCCAGCTATCTCCAATGCTGTAGAAGGTGTCTGAGGGGGGTGATAAAGACAGATTACTTAACTCAGCAGTACTTTTGTTTGGGATGCTCTTTGTCACCAGGAAAATAAGACGTGGAAGAGAGCAGGAGGAATCTTACAGTGACAAACACACTATTAGCAATGAACAAACAGTGGCTGGAAAGAGGGAGAATGCTACTTTCAGAGTATTGAAGAAGAAATTATGGAAAATAAATGGATTACAGCTCCATAAGGAGTAGAGACCCTATTTTGCAAGTCCATGGGCCCTGTACCACAGGTGACAGGTGGAGAGAATTTCAACTATACTAGTAATTTGAATATAGCATGTGAAAGTAAATACACCCATATAAGCATTACCATTAATTCTTCTCAAGAGAAGGGTTCCCACATAGCTGTCACACAATTCTTTCACATATTAAATGAAGAAAGTGAGAAGATGGAGATGACAAGTAATCTTATATTAAGAAATTAATCTTGGTGCCTACCTTTCAGATCATCACTGAGGTAAATTTTATACCTTAAGGAGTTGCAAAGAACCACTCCTACAAACTTGCGGTACCACGTTCGTTTCACATACTGCTTGCCAGTGCAGTCTGAGTAGGTGGGATCATATTTAAAAGTGAATGGGATCCAGATAGGCTCACCGCCTTGGGGAAAAAAATAAATTCCACATTAGAGACAGACTTCAGCATTTTAATCTGAGTTTTGCTGAGGTTAACATCTAATAATATGTTTTACAAGACACGCTGCAGCAGATTAATGAATAACTTTTCTATATCCAGAAATACTACTTCAAGAACAAATACTATTAAAAAAAGAGAAGAGATGGGCTTGATTAAATCCCTTCTAGGCAGCAGACAACTGTTAAAATGATTAAAAAACATGATTTCATGTACTGAACCACAGCTTTAAGTAAACAGTCTCATTTGTTGTAATAAGAATTCTTCTCTACTACAAAACTTAACCCTATTACAGAAGAACAGATGTTAAGAATTCTGTGGTGAGTAACAGCCTGAGATGTGATTCTTGCTATCTGGTTAAAAAGATCGTATCACAAATGTGCTTTTCTGTTTTGTTTCTCGGATGACATCAAAACAGGTGAGTTTTCAACAACAAACAAGCGAGATCTTTTTGGGAAACTCTGTTCAGAGCATTGCTGCAGAGGAGAATACTTAACTGTATTGCAAAAGACTACATATTCCTACTGCATTACCTAAATGTTTGGTTTATATTATACAAGACAATATGATTTATTTTGAAATTGCTGTTGTAGTAATGTACACAGAATGATACAAAAATCTTCCAATGTGATAATAGGTATTTTTGTCTCTAGCTACAGCACAAAGCCCTGTTTTTACTGTGCTATTTTGAGGTGGTTTACAAACGAGACTGGAAGTTTTTTGTGTTAGTCATTCTTCCTCCCTCTCACCAGGCACGTGGTCCAAATCCTGAAAACGCTTGCACGTGATCAGCAACCCTTAAAACTCCACCAGTGTGAACACAAATATTAACTGGACTGATTTTACTCAGCCACACAGGGAAGGGATTACAGGATTTTAGCCATAGATTTATCTTTACAATAAAACAATAAACTACTGCTTGAATGCAATTTTGTTGCTGTGAATAATCTGCTTTTGTCCATCACTTTTGCCCACCTCCAAAAATCCTGCAGGATAAACTTAGCATGACCTGTAAGAGCTGCATTGGATGTTTAGAATCTCTTAATTTCCACAAGTTCCCAAAGCTCTTCTCTTTTTGGTCTATCTCAATTCTACTACTGTTGCCACACAAAGTATTTTCTCTTTGTCCAGCTGGAGAGGAAACTACAAGTGCAAAAGCTGTCACCTTCCAAAGCCTCCATTCTTTGAACAGGCCAACAAAGTAACTGATAGCATAAAAGCTGAAAGTCTCTGGGGACAGCGAAAGGTCACCCCTCTCAGAGGCTTCTCACACTAACTATCAGAGGCATTGTGTCCTCTGCAATACCTGTGCATCATCAGAGACTTATGAGAGGACACAATAAAAAAACCCAAGCATAATAAAACAGAGAAGGAAGGGAAATGCTAGACACTATTTTCATGAACAATGTAACAAAAAAGTCCCAGAACAAAGCATTTTAATTGCTTAGGAAAGCTAACAGAGTGAAATAACTATGAGGGCTTTTTTTCCTGCATCTCTTCTGAGAGCACATACTGCCTAGGGTTACCCTACCAACGCTCACATCAGCAAGGTTAGTCCCAGCACCAGGAAATCAGATCTTCTGATTAGGGGCTAAACTAGCTTATTGCAAATTTGGAAATAGCTCAACAATTTGGAAAGCTCAACAGCTTTGTGGCATATCATTTGGGTCAGTAACAAATCCTTGATTTTTTTAGCATTTATAAGGGCATGATGATTTGTACAGGTGAGCATAAGAACTAGAGAGACAAAAACCTGATGCTGCTATTCAAGCTATGCTTAGGCAGCTGAAGAACACAGATACAGAAGCAATATAGTTTAATGCTTAATACTAAGCAATTTAAGCCCTTGTACCAGGCAAAAAGATGGACTAAAATCAAATGCTTATTCGAACATAGCTGTACAATATTTCTTTTCAGAAAGCAGAATAACGGACCCTAAGACAAAAAATGTTTTGTGAATTAGTCCCATGAACTACGACCAGCTTAAAACCGTAACCAAAACTGCATGTTTAAATGTTTCTAACTTCTATATTCTAACTGTTTTGCACATATTTTATGCACTTTATGAAAGAAACAACAGAGTAAGACTTACCAGGTGGTCTGACAATGAGGAGAGGATTGTCTAGAAGAATAAAACAAATAAAAAATTTAGTACCTTTTCCAAACCTTGTTTCATAATATAAACCATACAGTCACTCAACAGAATGTCAGTACAGCGCTCATAACTACATTATGAATATGGGACTTAGATTGTCTTGTCAATTCGTAGACATAATGTGTGTTTGTTATTCTGCTGTTTTCTCAGTTAATAAAATTTGCCACAGGATTGTATATTTATTTTGATACTGTAAAAACTCTATTGAGATTAGTATCAAAGTCCATAGCCAGCTTTGAAACATTTCCTCTTCTCAGAAGGTCCTCAGAGCAGGAAGACAGTTTCACTGTACACTTCTGAATGAATAGTGGGCCTGCCCTTCAACAGGAAATGTAACCTAACCCTTGCATGCAGACCTTGGTCTCAGACATCCATCATGTTCAGCACAATTCTTCAGTGCTATTCATAAATACGCAAAATTTATAATTTTAACCCCTTTTGTCATAGTGGCAGAGATTTCTGAGGAGCTCCCTGGGTAGTGCAAGGTGCATCACTCACACCCTGAAGAGCTTCTTGCTTGAAATACTCTTAAAATAAAGAAAGATGGAGTAAGGATAACAAAACAACATGATCTAATGCATTAGCTTCTCTGTATTCGTTACACTGCAGTTTCTGTCATCTCTTACTGTACACAAGATACCCAAAGAAAAAGCACAGTGCTTGTCCCCTAATGGGGAAGAAAAATTCTAGGGAGTTTTAAAAGATTGATAAAAGAGAACAATGGGTTTATGCTCTCTTCAGTGTGTTACTAGGGGTGAGACTGAACATTCTCAGTAAGTTGCTTGATCTCATGATGGCATTCTTCATTGAATATTCCCATCAGCTCAAACCTTACGGTTGCATTAGAACAGCAATCTGAATTAGCAACTTCTTTCTCTTATGACACATTCCATGACTGTAACTATACCACCTGGCTTTGCATTTAGCAACCAGTTTGGTACTTATGCCACCTTATGGAGAGCCACCTTTGGCTACATGACAAACAAAAGATCAGTGCTGGAAACAAAACTTTAAATTTGGTGTATTTAACATGTTAAATAAAACTCACAAAGTAGCTGATTTTGGATGGGAAAACTAAGCATGAAGACCCACAGACTGGCAGCCAGCTAATCAGGAAAATAATCTGCAAGACACAGCACAGCATCAAAGAATCACAGAATCATTGGGGGGGCACAATCACTTCCCTGGTCCTGCTGGCCACACTATTGCTGATAAAAGCCAGCGTGCCATGGACCTTCTTGGCTACCTGGGCAATGTTAAATATTTTGCTTGGATTTATACTTGAGCTTCTTACTCCTTTAATGAAAATCTGAATAGGTTACCCAGAACCATTTTTTTATCTTGCATTTTTGCCTCCCTTCTGTGATGACTTACTTGCACAGTTCTTAGTGGAGCTTCTGAAGTGACCACTACAGAATGAAGCCAAATGAGTGAAGGCAGAGACTTCTGTTGTTAAAAGGGCAAATTTTGCAAGAAACAACAGATCTTTCACTAAAGTAGACTGAAAAATTTGTCCCTTATTATTTAGTGTAGTCATTGGCCTCTGGCTTGATGGAAGTAGAAGAAGAAGAAATGGGCAAAAATAGCTCATTTAACATACTATTTTTAGAAGGGGGTGTTGCTCTTGAATGTACTATTAGTCCTGTGAAAGAGCAGCATGCCTTCTCCAAAAAAAAAGAGCAGAGAATTTTGTCTGTCCAATGGAACTATTGCCTCCTATAATTGTTCCAGAGACAACCACTTCCAACTGTTTAGCTGTCTACAATTAGGAAACTACTTTACTATATGTTTGGTCAATCTATCAAAGATATTAAGCTTCCCATTACTTCTGTATTGCTGAACATTATTAATCTCGTGTATTTGAAATTCAGCTTCCTGTCCCCCTGGAATTCACTTTATTGTCACATTTTCATCGCGGCATTAGGAGTGCATATTATTTTCCTGACTTAACTGAAAACAAATAATTAAAGTAAAAAAAAAAATATTCAAAGCAGCAAGTTCAGGATAATCACCATTATTAGCATGCTGGTTTCAGTCAATGCCCTGCCACATCTCTTATAAAAAAATTCAATTTTGAGATGAAAATAAAAAGCAAACCATACCAGATTCTGTGATAAATGAGACGGAAGAGCTAACAGGTCCATAACCAAAGGGATTCTTTGCTTGGACTTTAAAATAATACCTGAAACAAAAAGAGAGGGGAAATAAGATGAAAACAGATCCCAGTGCAATGGCTAAACTATAAATAATTTAAAACAGGGTAAGAACCAAACCAGCAGAAGAGCACCGAGTGTCCTCTTCATTAAATGGAGTTGGATACTGAGCCAGGGTATGAGCTGGCTGTTACAGACAAATGTCTCCTTTTTGCAATTGCTCCCATGAATATTTTTGGATCATTTATTTTTTCCCCCTTTCAAAAGCCACATACAACTATATCCACTTCCTATGAAACTCCTGATACCAAAAGACTAAAAGAAAAAGTTGGAAGGAAATCAAATTCTGATCTCAAGAATAGTTTTAAACCAGATTAACTCCTAGGAAAGCAGTGATGCAAACTGCAAACTGAAACTGGATCAGATTTATATGAGATCAGAAACTAAGCTTTTGACCTTTGTATAAAAACTCCAACAGCGTTAAGATCACAATACTTGAGTAATACAAGGAAGCATCATGTTGCCTTATTGATTCCCTCAAAGTTTTTAAATCACATGCTTAACTCAAAGCACATGACTTGCTCAACAGAAGCCAAATTATCCTCACCCTTAGAGAAGAATATGTGTAAGCACATTTTTAGTTCATTTCCAAATACAATGACTTTTAGTTGATGCCTACCCAGTCATTTTTCCCCTGGATTAGTATTTTCTTCTTTTCCTTTTATATTTGTACCAGTCCAGCAGAAACCAGTTAGAATGAAAGATTACTGTAAAAATTTCCAGCACAGCATTTTTTTTAATTCCTGAGTTTAGGTTTTCCTTTCTTTTCTCCTTGCTCGATTTCATTCTTGTAAAGAAATCAATAAAAAATAAAAAATTCCTGTGCCCCTGTAATATCGACATCTCATTTGGATCTTGATTTAGCCTCTCACCCAAAAGCAGACATCCTCAAAAGCTCTATACATGACCCACATAACAGGGCAAGTGATTACTTGTATGGATGGTTGCCACCAATGGCTGGATTACCTCACATGAAAATATCCCACCTGAGTGGCAGGCCTGATGCACCTCAGCTGTGGAAAGGGAGCCTGCTTCATTAAAAATATCAGGCTGCTCTTGGTGGTGAAGCTCTCCCCATCCTGCACAATAACCTGCCAGTGCTGGTTTGTTTGCATGGGCCACACTGGGCTGAGACATGATACACTTTACAGTCTCTCTTGCATTAGGGAAATTCAGTACAATCCTGTTGCAAGAACTTTGCTGAGTTTAGTCTGCCACCCAGTTATTACCATGTTCACTTTACTGCACTATCAGTTGTATCCTACCATAGAATAGGGCCTGGAGGTCACTCCTGAAAGGGCCCTCTCTGGCCTGAGCATCAGCTAAGCTCATAGGAAATTATTCCCAATGATAAACTGGAGGCAATATAGCTGAACCAACACCACTGGCAAAGATGACTGCCTTTTTTTACCAGAAAATACCACCTTTGCAACACAGTACGCACCTTCTGAGCAACCCTTTCAATGCACCTAATTTATGTATATTAATGACAGCTTCAAACCATTCCCACAGATATATAATTGCAATGATTCTCCTCTGAAACTGGAGAGAGAGCAGCCCAAGAACCTTGTACACCTATTTAAGTAGGGAAAACCATGCAGTTTTGTATCCAATGTGTAAGGCAGGAACTGATTACCTATGGAGTCAGGACAACTGTGAATTCAGGTGTCCTGTTACATACATAGAAGCCTATCTGGGACGCAGGATTGTTCAAGCTTCTGCCTGACTGTCTAAAAAAAAAGATTGGCGATGAAGTTATGAGTACATTTTTCTTCACAAATTGGAAAATTGGTTTCTAAGCCTTTATATACACAAGAAGTCTCAAGTCATGCCGGAAAGAGAGCCAGGTCTCATGACTTGCTGACCTGTGATTTAAACATAGACATTGCTATGATTGCTGTATTAAGAACATCAATAAAATAATGCAGTCAGGATATATTTCTTTCTCAGACATGACAAATAATAAAGAAATTGCCAAAGCTTTTCTAGGTCCAGGAATCTGACATTTTCATTAGTCAGAATCCTTCAGCTGATGACTTTGCCAGGAAATCTCAAATCAGTATAACTCCACTGGTTTTCATCACACAAATACATGAACAAAATTTATAACATATAATTTGATTGAGCTTTGTTTACACTTTGCTTAGGCAGGCCTGCAATTAATTGTAATCTTCTGTACCAATAGGTACAGAAAAATCACAACTGCCACAGATGCAGTACCATTTGTTTATTTTCAAAACAGACCAGAAGAAAGTTTTTCCTCCTAAGAGTAAATTTCCTTTGAAATTTCATATACCAGTTGTACTGATACGTCAAGAAACGACATAGTAAACTGTAAAGGGGCAATGAATTTGTAATATTTTTATTCATTGAGACTATATGACTACTTGTTATATATGACTACTTGTTATATATGACTACTTGTTATATATGACTAATTGTTATATATGACTAATTGTTGCCAAACCTGTCACTTGGAGCAAAATTATTTTATTACTTAATTCAAAATGTCTCCCTTCTCCGGGAATTAAACAGCTGGCACTCACAACACAAAATGAGATAATCACTCAGAATGATAATTAGAGAAGCCGCTTTTTAAAAAAAACCAACAAATTAGTTAGCTGTAAAATCCTTTTTCCAGACTCTCCAAAGGCATGCCTGCATGGATCGCCAGCCCTGCACTCCTTCCAGTGGCGGACTGAGATGCCTACCAGGCAGGTGGCAGGGCAGGAGCCATAGCACCGTGACCATGTGCCAGCCACAAGGATGGTGGAATAGCTGCTGCTGGACCTCTGGCAGTGCTGGGTTGAGAGCCAGGATGGATGTACAGAGGGTATGCAGGCAGAGCACGTGGCTCTAACCTGCGTGAGGGAAACTGGCATGCCCAACCCAATGTCTGGGAGGGAGAGACATCTGCTGCTGCCCAGGAAGTGCAGGGAACAAGCCAATGTGACAGCACCCCAAAGATCCACTGCCCAGCAGGAGCAGTGGATGAGGGGAAAAAGAGGCTGGCAGGGAGTCAGGATGGACAGGTTTCCCCCCATGGAAAGGGCTAAAATCCTCCTCCTACAACTGCACCATCCCTTTCAGAGGAAAGACATGTAAACCAGCTGCCTGCAGGTTCAAAGGATGGTGCAAAGTGTCTCCCTACAAAAAAAATGGCCCAGCACCACATCCCTCATGAATAGTTAATAATATTATAATAAGACAGCAGAGTCAAGGTGGAACCGGAGCTTCCAACACAGCAGGTGTGAGGTATATATGTGCCACACGGCTCTACCACTTGCACAGGACAAGGATTTCATTGACATCTTAGCTCTTTTGTGCTGCCCTGGTGGCACACAGCAGCCAGTTGTGGTTGATGAAGGTTGTGGCTTTGCTTTAACAGAGATATAGAAAGGAAACAGAAATTTTTGGTGCATCTGGACAGAAGATCCAGGCTCTGTTTGCAGTTGTGAGCCCTGAGTAAATGCTTGAGAACCTCCTATGGAATACTCTGAACAATACTGGAATTGGTAACAGGTACTGTGGGATCAAAATGTTCCCAGATGAAACACAACCCAAGTGGACAGGGAAAAAAAAAATTCATGAGACATGGAGATATGGTGGTAGAAGACAGTGTTTTAAATCATGATACTCCCATCAGGCAGTGACACAGGTTTCCTGAAAAAAGGCAGGAAAAAGTCTAACCATGCTCAAGGAGACTGAAATCTTCATGCCAAGGATTATAATGTTTGTGACTATGGATTTAGTGGTTGAGCAGATGCTGTCCAGCCCTTTGCATCATCATCTGTGACAGCTGAGAATTAAGGTTAGGGAAGGGACGTTGTCAAAACTGCTGTTTTGAAGATTTATTAAGGTTTAAAGTAATTTTGGTGTTTACAATCACAAATCACAAGGAAGCAGCTCCTGTGCCCACTGAAGTTGACCAGAGTTTCACTAATGGAAAAACTTCCACTTCCAAATAGGGGTCAGACCAGGTCTCAGAAGAAAACTTATGACACGGATTAAACAGGGCTTTCCGTTTTGTTTGTAAAACCTAAACACCAGGCAGATGTTTTCCAGAATATGGTGACAGCTTCAAATCTTCTCTGGGGCTGACTTCAGCCAAGATGCCAACTTGATTCTCATACTCTGCACATGCCACAAAATCGCACCACCCACAGGCCCTCGTGGGATACCCAGCAGGCAATAGCATCTTACAGTAAATCTGACTGAATCTGAGATTTCTCTCAAAATACACTAGCAATGCAAACACAAAATTTTTAGACTAAGTTCAGTTCTCATGCCATATTTTCCTAATTAGGCATGGGGTCTTTTTGCAGTGGTTAGGGAGTTATTTTTAAGACAAAAAGTATGCAATCAATTCAGTCTGTGGATTTGGAGAATGTAAATGGGACTGGCTGATACACACAACTTCTCCACCACACACCCCACATGAAGCCTCTACTGCCTTTCAAGAGCATACAACAGGGGCCAATGGATTATACCGTTTTCAGGAAGGTGCTGGGGAAACAATGAGCCCCAATGAATAGCACTTGCTTGAACCTCCCTACACTGAAACAGAACCTTAACATTCAGCATGTCATTCCCTACATTCACGGAGAGGCATGAAACTATAACCTTGCTGTTCCTATAAAACTCCATTCAAATACAGACAAACTGTGAACTTCTGAAGCCTGGAGTTAATGTACATCTCATCAGATGAGTCACAGGTTGGCAGCTCAACTCCCACCAATTCCCCTGCACTACTGGGACAGAAGCTGCAGAACTGCTGTGAGCTTTCACTGCAACCACTCCTTCTGGTCACCTGTAGCCCTTTAAGTGTTGGGTACGAGAAGCAGGGAGTTATCTCTGGCTTTCAACACTGTCCTTGGGGCATCAGGAGAGAGAGACTTGACTGAGAGTATGAAGAGGTGAGGAACTGCAGCTGGAAAGGGGGAAACAGCACAGAAGCAAGAAACAGAGGGTCCCCCAGTAGAAGCTGGCGCGTAAAAGCAATGCCTCCCTGGCCTGCATGGGGGACAAGGTGAGAGTGGAGGAGTGAATACTCAGGAAGGGGAAAAGGGCTGGGGATATAGAAGAGTCTGGGATGTGGAGGGAGGAACTGAGACTAGCAGCAAGAGGAGAGTCATTTAGGGAAAGGGTGTCTTCAAGTCACAAGGACGTGGATGTACAAAGGCAGGAGGGTCTGCAACTGCTTCCATCACTACCTAGGAACAGTGTTTAGGAGATCTCAAACCTCTTCCATCTTGTTATAACAGGTGAAACCCACAGATAAACTGTGCCCAATACCACCCTCCATACATTTGTAACTACAGTGTTTTGTAATGAGAGCGCTAGCAGATGTAGAGCATAGAACTGAAGCTCTCTACTGTGAAGTAATTTTGCCTTTAAAAACACACCATGAATGACCCTAAAAGACTTTCATTAAGGTCTAGATTATTAATCTTCAAAATAAGTGAGGTTTTTTTATCTCTTAGATATGTAAGAAAAGGCCTCATGAAGCATGCGACTGACAGTATGATAGACAAAAGAGGAGAGGATAAGAGGGCACAGTTTTTCCTGAATTTCAGACTCAGAATTTGAAAGAAAAGTCTGAAAGACACTAAGCACCTCTCAAAAGAAGCAATTTTAATGCAGTCCCTTTGTGGCCACTTGCTTTCTACCCAATTCCCACAAATTATTTCAATATCAGGCAAAGCGTGCATTCTTGTTCTGCCATTTCAGTGAGATTTTTTGCAAGATACAGACCTAAAACCCCTGCCAAACTGCCTTCTGAGCAATTGCCACAGCCTCACTATACACCATCAAGCTTTCTCTTCCAGCACAACCCATGTGAACAAAAAGTGAAAACAGACCAGTGGGTGGCACTTCCCCACCAGCCCTCACGTATCAAATCTCGACCAGACCAGTATGTGGGAATGGCCACATCACATCACATCACATCACATCACACCAAGAATATATGTTAGTATACTCTTCCCTCCAACATTTGATCCAGTTATGCAAAAGACTATAAAATGCCTTTTAAAATAAGATTTTCTCTGTTACTGATATGTGGTTTTATACACACAAATATATACCCATGTACACACAGTCATCTGCTCTGCAGTTAATATGGTAAAGATATCAAGTAAGTAGTTGTGCAGTTTATGGAATGATTTGCTGTCAAATAGAATGAGTAAAATCTAAATCACATGTAAATATTTACATTAAGAAAAACAATTGGCAATTCTCAAAATTTGTTTTACTTCCTTAACACAGCTGAAAAGGAGCGGGTCAAATCCTTACCGTGTGTTGGGCTTCAGGTTCTCAATTGGCAAATGAGTAGACCCTGCAGTCCTCGTTGACCACTTATTCTTTAAAAAGTCATCATAGGATGCACTGTACACCAGATAGCCTGTAAACAGGAAAGACAACTTGTTGTGAGGATTCTAAATAAATTTTAAGTGAATGATATATCTAGGTGTTATGGTGAATTTTATGGGTTAAAAGGAGTGAAAAGATCCTTGAATATGGAAGTGGTCCAATGCCTAACTCTTCTGGAAAACTCCAGGCTGTAAGAATTTCCTGTCATTAGCTAATGACGGAGCATAACATCAGAGGATGGCACCCAGGTGTGAATTCTGATTTAAAACACAGTGAAGGCAAAAAGATGACAGAGGCAATCTATTCACTGCTTTAAGTGATACATGGACTGTATCACTGCAGAGATTAATAAAGTTAAAAACACCACAGGATTTTGGGGGAAAAAAAAATTTAACTTATACAAACTGTGCTTATTAAGCTACTGTCTCAACAGTCTTGAAGAATGAAAAACTGTGGGAAAGACACCACACAGATTGTTCCAGTGCCATCTTCTCCCTTCCCAGTCATTATCACTACTTCAGTTCTGCCAGTTCCCACCCCTCTGCCATGGTGTCAGCTGCAGAGCTGAGTGAGGATCCTCTAAAACTGGATGTTGGCACCAAAGCAATGGACTTTTTAAATGCTCTCTACAAATCTTTTAGGTCCACTGATAAACAGGCTTAATTTCTAAAATATTTTGGTTATTTAATCTAGTGTTTTTCTAGCAACTTTTGAGATTCATTCTTGAAGTCAGTTGGGACTCTCTCTGGCTCTCAAAAGGTCTAGAGACATTAAAGGAGATTTAATTTAAAATACATTTGTTTAATATATTCCCCATCTCTGAACTTTGTCAGACTGATATTTCAGCAAAATTCCAGCAAAACAAGCCCGGGCCACAGATTCCAAGATAATTGACTTTGATACATTATTTTCCTAAAAAGATTAAAAAAAAAAAAAAAAAAAAAGAAGCAGACTAGAAGACCACCATGCCAGAAGCCCCTCTACAGGCAGACCATTCCTGCAGCCACACCCAGGAACCAGGCAGGAACCCAGACTGGGTCCTCTGCTTGAAATGGACTGAAGCCGAGTGTGAAAGACGCTCCAAAGGCAGGTTCTGGAGGTGCCTGCGGTGGAGCTGAGGGCACTACCTGGGGGAAGAAGTGCTCAGTTGAACAAAGCACTATCAGAGCTACCACGCAGGCAGGATGCGATGCCTTTGGAACCACTGTCATAAAATCAGTGCCAAAATCTTGAGATATCTGGACCAACATGGGCTGGTCAGTCTGTCACTGAGGGTTGACAGAGAGACCCTTCTCTTCAGAAGGTGGCTTACCTCCCTCAGAAAATTGCAGAGCAGTGAGACATCAGAGTCGTGAGACATCAGAGTCATGAGATACGAGTTCAGTTTAAAAATGGTCATTTGAGAAAACCTTTCCCCAGCAGTAGGACAAGAGGGCACGGTCTTAAGATCTGCCAGGGGAGGTTTAGGGTTGGATATTAGGAAGAAATTTTTTACAGAGAGAGTAATCAGACACTGGAATGGGCTGCCCGTTGGATTCAGTGTCCCTGGAGGTTTTGAAGATGAGACTGAATGTGGCACTTAGTGCCATGGCCTAGTAACCACAGCGGTGTTGCATCAAGGGTTGGACTTGATGATCTTGGAGGTCTTTTCCAACCAGGTTGATTCTATGATCCTCCACTACACCATTAGGAGAGCAATCCTCAGGAGAGTACCTGTTACCATGTCTCCTCGAGCAGGTTTAGCCCAGTCCACAATGACAAAGGAATGACAACCTTCAACTGCCACAACAGTGATGTTGTGAGGGGCTTTCAGGGGACGTTGATCTTTCTCTCTGAAGTCATTAGGGATGATTTCATCAAGGCTGTCCACTTGGAAGTGCTCCAGGGCCTCTGTCAAGGAGCAGGGGGCTGCTGGATCTTTACTGAGATAGGTCACATAAGGAGCTGGAAAAGACAAGGAAGGGTGGCATTTAGTTAACAGTTTGTAGGTACCACAGAGTAGCACATAGGCTGTCAATTTCTTGAAAAGAAGATAGTCAAGTTTTGTGATGCATTTTAAAATTCCTCCCCTTCCAGCCCAGACACTGCTGCCAACAAAGCGTGACTCACAGTGAATATGACTGATGAGCAGGGGGAATGGGATGCCAGTATTCAGGTCTACTCCACACTCACAATTGTACAAAATTATGCAAAGACAGAAGGATTTATTTGCTAGAAGACGCAGAAGGAGCAGTCTGACTGCAAGACTCCACACACTACCTCCAGTTGCTCTGGAAGGTAGGATGAAAATGACACCCAAACTCTGATTTTCCAGACATGGGATCAGATCCCTGACAGGGCCTTCGATCATCTAAGACTTTACAGGTGGGTTGGTTCTTACACAAAAAATTTGAAACTGGAGTGAAACAACAAAGGCAATATGAAGATTAATTCCAAGGTGAAGTCCAACCAGGTTAAATGTATTGTTGCTGTGGTCCCCTGGGTACTAAGGGACCAGGAGTCATGAGTCCTTATCTTCCAGGCATGTGCTCCCAACCTGTAATTTCTATTTTTAAAAGCTTTATTCTGACTGGAATTGCACTTCACTTCAGGAAAAGATTAAATCATCTTTTTATTGCCTTGAAAGTCACCGTAACATTCAAAGTAAGGACTATAAAACTTCCTTGGAAATGTTTATTCAGTTGCAATAATACAATTCATTGAAATGGTAATATTATTTCCCTAGTGCCTTGAAATGTTCATAAACCAACGTTTCTGGGTTTATCTTACTGGATTTCATGCCCTAAAGGAATTTTTTCCAGATCTTGCAACGAAGTTAAATTTAGCCAAATGAATCAAGAAGCACTGTCAGTGAGAGAGCCGAATAGAAACATCATGAAATTGTTTGGACAGGGAAACTGAAGATGCACTGGAAAAAGTCCTGGCATATGTAAAAAAAAATTTTTACTGCAGCAGCAGAGTTCCACTCTAAGCCGCGTGAAGCTTGTGGATATTGGAAGGGAAGGCAACGCATGGATTAAAGATGATTCTCCATCCCCTGAACTCCCGTCTGAAATGCCAGGTGAGTCAGCAGCTGATCTGACCTCAGTTCAAGTTCCAGAGGTATGTAAAGGGCTGCAGGGGGTATCACCAGTCTGGGGCGTAGGCTGGAACGCAGTGCCCTACAATCTCCAAATCCCTCTGTTCTGCCCCGCAGCTGCTTCTCTGACAAAGGAGAGAAGCTCTGAAGTCAGTGCTGCAACACCAACCTCCACACCTGAATAGCTTGTGTACACAGGAGACAGCTTCATGGCTCATGTAATGTATTGGGGGTTCCTACACCAAATTCCTTCTACAAAGCAAACGTACAAATAGCAAAATCAAATTTATCTCTATTGGATTTATTTTTTGGAAAGTTCACATCCAAAATAGCCTTCGTTCCTGAACTTTGAAGCACATCTTTGACATACATGCTTGTGCAAGGTGGATGAAATCACTGGGGTTGCATGGGTCAGTGGAAAAGAATAAAGCTCCCCAGAGGAAGACTCAAACCTACATGGAGACTTGCACTGCTTGAACTACGGGTGTGAAGTTTGGTGCAGTTAAGCTGAACAAAGCACTGGAATAGACACTCGCTCGCTTACTGACTTCATCTAGACTGAATATGATGCAAAGCACAAAGCAGAGCATTCACACTGAAAGAGTACAAAAAGGTTTTTACAATAGTGGTGTGGCCCCACAGGTAGAAATGCAAGCATCGAAGCAAGGAACAAGATACTGCTCTTTGGGCTTCTGAGATGGCAATCCTTAAAAGGACCACACACAAGTCTGTTGGATATGTCTGCACAATGGTCTCAGCTTAAGGGCTGATCTTGCTAGAATAAGAATTCTTTGCAGCACAAGTAGTAAGCTACATAAACCCAAGGGCATCCTTACCAGTGAACCGTTTCTTTCCAGCGATATCATATTCTGACATAGGGCCAGTGCCAACAACACTAGTCTCGGGATAGACAACTTCCAATTCTGTTGTTGTAGAAGCAGTGGTGGTGGTTACAGTGGTGGTGGTTGGCGGCAAAGTGCTCTCAAAAAACTCGTAGTCTTCAGAGGAAACATAAGATAAAAATGTTAGCATGCTTCAACTCCAAGGAAAGAAGACAGAAAAAAACCCAGACCCAAACATGCCACTTTCAACAGACTTTTACAGTTAAACAGTACCATCATCATATATCACATATGCCTCTGGAGTTGCTGTTGTATCCGAATCCAGTCCAGAGAACGTATCTACTGAAGGAAAAAGAAAAAAATGCTTTAAGAATTCAATAAATTACTTCTAGAATAAAGTTTAAAATAAAAATATTTAGCCAGGTAATTTGTAAAGAAGTAAGATAACTGCTTAGTTTCCAAATAACACAGTGACAGTCCGTTCTTCGTATTTAGAATAACAGATGAGCAGTTAAATGCAGTAGCCAGGAGTTTCACTGGGGACAATGGGTTCAGGGCTGCTACTCAAAACCGAGAGTAATGCACCTTCCAGGAGCTCTGCCCCAGGCTGCAATGGCTCTAGAGCAAAGGTAGGCTGCCAACAAATACGTAACACTCATGTCAGGATTTGAAAATATTTTAGTCTCAAGAGCAGCAAATGTGAAAACATTATATAACCAAAAAACAACCAAGCAATTAAAATACTTCTGTCCAGATATATTTGTGGAGGTATAAAAAAAAAAATAAGCAACCCACAGGGCCATGACATTTACAGACTGTGTCAATGCTTGCAAGTAATGAAGCCCTAAAGAAATTGATTTGTAGAATGAAGCACTTCGGGCTGGATTTTCTGGGGTTTTACTTTGCACTAGCTCTAGTCTGATCCTGCAGAATGAAGGCCCATTACAGACTGGACCACATACATGTAATCCTGAAGCACTGCTTCTGCTTTAGTTTCATCCAATAGGAATTCAGTTTGTGCATACCAAGATTGCTCCATGATGCAAATGAAAGCATAGCAAGAATGGATGATTATGAGGTGCACATCAAAAACACACTCCTAATCTACTCCAAAAATAATGAAAATGCATGAAAAGACTTCAGAGATGCCTATTCCTTCATATTATCTCAGTATCTCTTTAGGTCATGAATCCAGCACCAGATACATCAATCATCAAGTACCTCATCTGTTGAATCCTGGAGACTTTCCTGCACACTCAAAGAGAAACATTTCTCTATATGTTATTCAGGGAAGTCGAAGAGTATACAAAGCTCAGAATAGTCATAAAAAGCCATGCAAGCAAAGCTAAAGCACTGTGGTGGAACCCACTGCAGGTACCATCAGAAGTCTTCAATGAAATGCTGGGAGTGGCCAGTGTGTGAACAAAGACAAGAGAGAGACAGCTTTGACCTTAGGACACTTCACATAATTTGGTAATGTAACACTCGATATGAAAGCAATAGTGTTATTTTTACTAAGCCAGTAATACAAAAAATGCAAAATTTCAATTTCCAATGTTAAATAGTTCGCAAATATAATCTGAATTACACATTTTCATTTTGCAGATTTTTTTTTTGTTTAGAACCAACAATAATTGTATAAGACTGCTTTTTTTCTCCTACAATAATTTTCTTTTAAATCTGTAGTGTGATTTCAATGCCAAAATAAGCTTTGAAAACACAGGAAATGGGTTCATCCTTGTCAGACTTTCATATATCAGAAATGGACATTTTCTCATGGTAGACTTCTGCAGCCACTCTTCTGGAGATGATCTCCTTGGAAGTCACTTGACTTCTCTGAGGGTAGTCAGTCACAAAGTAGTTCTGCAGATCTCATCACAGTTGACCACCATCAATCAACGGTTATAATGTATGCACTCACCTTTATGTGACTAAATCCAAGTAAACAAGAGGATCAGATATGCAGAAATTTGAAATCCTTCATGGCCAGATTTCAGCTCATTCACATGTATTAGCTAGTCAGTCTTTCTTTCACCTACGTACAATCCAGCAAAGCCAAATTTGATTTTCTATTTTTGTACTCAACTTCACTGTCTGTGCTTATTTAGCATTAGCTGTGGCATTGGTGACAATAGGGGTACTTCCCAAAAGACCTCTCATTGTATAATTTTCTGTACATACACCAGCTGCAGTTCTGCAGCTTGCTCCATCGCCCTTCACTGAAGCTCTTTTGAGTGAACCCTGCCTGTAACAAATGAGGCCAAGTTTTCCTATGGCCACTTGCCACAGCTCTTGACATCTATAAAGACAGCAGACCGTCCATCCATCCCTTGATTTTATCACGTGTAGCACGTGGTTAAGTTTCCATCTGTTTTTTTCTTTGTGAGTTTATGAATATAGTTTAGCTGATTGATTTCACTGGCAAATCGCGCTTGTGTGGCCAAACTCCTCCTTGAAAGTTAGAGGCTGCTGAATCTAGTGAAAGACTGACAAGAAATTCTGCTGGGTTGAGCAGAAAAGTAAGAGAATAAGAGAATTTGCCAAAGCTTGAGTAGAATATTTGGCGGCAGGTTTTGGCACTTGCAGCCGCTGGCTGTTTGTGAGTAAAGCACTTAGCAACAAATATCAAGCTTTGGCAGAAAGAGTATTTCACTAAATGATCTGGAATAATTTACAGACTTAGATTAAAGGGAAAGACAAGATAAAAACATAATTTGGAAATGGTCAAGTAAAAACTGCATTAATTGTTTTGATAATTCGAGTAGTAGTTGTTTATCGCTCTTGAAATATACACTTCACTTGTTAAACAAAACCATCCATCATTAAATAAATACAACAACAATGATTTATTTTCAAGCAACTTCCTCTGTGGAACAGGCAGGCTGTTTTGCTATGTTCATCAAATCTTCAGGCAGGTCATTAGGATTAAAAGAAAACTAAAAAAAATTAGACTCTTCAGAGAAGCTTTCAAACTGCCAAATAGAGACTAATACTGTTCCAGCTATATACCAGGCAAGAACCAGAAATCCAGTACCATCTTGTCCTTTCAGTCTTCCACTGTGATGTATTTGCAGACATACTGTCAAAATGCCAGGCAGTTTATAAGTGACTTAAGGGCCATTTTCATTGAACATGCAGCCTGAGTGAAAACTTTGGTTTTATACATGCCTCTACAAAGTTCAAGGATTCAGCAAGCTCATCTGGTAGAAGGCAAAAAACCCATACAGAATGTTTTTAAATGTTCATAGAATCACACGAAAGTTCCCTAGACCACAGCCCACAATTCTGCTAAAAGTAATACTGCAAAGCTTTTTGTTGCTCAGCTTCTGGAGCCTACATTCAGCTTAAGCCCAGCCATATTTCATGAATTCTTATTGTTCTTACAATGTGTATTCTCAGAAGAGGTCCTCCAAGTAACAAACAGTGCAGGCCAAAGAGAGGAAATATTACATAATATAATCAATATTTAAGATTAGCAAAAGGAGCTGGGGGTGTGGGAGGGACTTTACTCAAAATTAGGGCTCCCCTTAGGCAAATATGAAATTACGGGAGTGACCATATATAATAACAATATTTGTAACACTTTCGTAAATACAGTTAAGAACTATGAAAGCACCAAAGGGAAGAGTAAAAATCTTCACAGAAATATATAACTAGGATGGTCATCTTACATAAATATTAACATCATAACTCATTGTAGTTCCCTCTGCACAAGGCAGTGATATCTCTGGCTCGTTACCCAGGGCAGCTGGTAAGGGAATTTTGTTTTCTGCTTCTGAGATCCTCTCCAAAGATTCCACCCTTAGACCCACTGTGAGTTGCTGAAACCACATCTTTCCATATTGCTGCACTCTTCAAAGTGATCATTCACCTTCCTAGGCAATGGTTACAGGACCTACTTGTAAGTCTACTGTGGCTTAAGAGATCCAGGTGTATGGGGGAAAGGTAAAGGGGTCTCACTACACCTTACAACTGGCTACTGCCGCTGGCAGATGTCTGATGGTCAACATGCTGTTTAAATTAGTAGACTGAGCTGGGGATTACCTACAAATGAGAAGGGTAAGGGTATGAGGCTCCCTGATCTGGTTTTGCAAAATAAGCAGCTAACTGGTTTGCAGTGCAACATTCAGGTGGGGAAAGCATAAAATATAGTAGGGAACAGGCTCAGCACCCAAAGACTCTAGTGCATTTATATGTGTTTACTTTGGATTTGAGTTTGGCACCACATCCTAAGCTTGTATAACTGCAGCAGGGGAAAAGTGACATGCACTGACACTGGTTTGTACGTTCAGATTCTAAAGAAATTAGTGTACAACTTTCTGCCCTATCCGTGCAGATCAAAGGTTGACTTTCACCAGCTTCATCTGGGCTGTGCTGCATTCCTGATAGACAATCTCTATCTCCAAGGGCTGGCAGGAGAACAAGAATCTCACTTTGCAAATGCTGGTTCCAGAACAGTTCAGAAGAGAGACTTTTCAGAATTCATTGTGATAAATGAACACAAAATAGACAAAATCTATGGTGTTTCCAGGTCCTTCCCTGGCCTGTAAAGGAGTGAGAAAACCTCATATATGAGTACTTTGATCACAGAACTACTGTCTGTATTTGTGCTCCTTTGAGTCATTACACATGTTAGGAGTGGATCTCACACAAAGTAAGAAATCTGCTGAAAACAATGCATTTCCACAGAAAAATTCAGCTTTAAGGGAAGTTGTAATTTTCCAATGAAAAACCATTTAACACCCAAACCTTTCTTCATTTGCTCTAATCTCAGCTCCTACCTTATCAAATGGACCAAAGCCTTCAGAGGCAGATTCTTTCCCATTTTACATCTGAGTAACTGCGCTGTACAAATAGCACAGACAAGGAAATCAAAAAAGCACAAAAGGAAATTACCTTCTGCATTGCACTCTGGCAGGCCATTGAACCCCAACAGCAAGTTGCCTTCATCATCATACTGTCCATAGGTGCCTGGAGGACAGGTTGGGATTGGTTTCTCAGTGGGTGGGTCAGTGGTGGTTGGTTCAGGAGTGGTGGTGGTGGTTGTAGCAACAGTTGTTGTAGTGGTCGTAGTAGTTGTTGTGGTAGTTGTTGTAGGTATTGTTGTAGTAGTAGTTGAGGGAGTGGTTGTTTTCTTAACCATTTCAAGACCAATCAGAGGCTTTCCTCCAAGGCTTATTATTGGTTTATCTTGTGCACTCGCTACAGGTTTACTGAATCTGCCATGTCCAAACAAAGGTAATCCATCAGGACTCACCATTGGGGCACCCTTTTCATCTAGGAGAGACAACCAAAACTGAAAAATCTCACCATTAATCCGTTTCAGGCCTACAGCAAGGTGTTTTATCACAGTAGATACCACAAGAGCACTGACACTGTGAATACAGCTTCCTGCAACTAAACTGACAGAGAAGGAGGGTGTTATCTAGGAAACAGCCATGGCTAAGGAAGCTGGAAAATTATTCAGAAGAACCTCAGATAAACCACAGTGGTGGTCACTTATTTTTCAGCTGTTTGATAAACACTCTAAGGACGTTTCACTTGAGAATCACAATATGCAGACAATGCATTTAATCTAAGTCACTCTCATAACTGTTGATGAAAGGTATAATGAATCTATATTCTGCTCCTTAATGTCAAATGTGTAAGGCAAAACTGAGATAAGCTGGTGAGATGCTGTCACTGCAGATAAACTTGTGAGACAGATTCTGGATACTGCAAATATTCATAACAGAACAGCCTCTGAATTGGTATTCAAGAGATCTATACAGATGGACTGACATGCAAACAGCGGTGCTTTCAGAGATCACACACAGAGTTTCTTACTATTTGCAGTCAGTTTCAGATGAAAAAATAAAATAAACACACACATATAGCTGGTACAGTGCTAGCAGTGGGAAATAATTATTTTTATGTATACAAAGATATAAACAATCATCAATCCTTATTCTGGCTAAGTTCTGCATTTCTTTATAATGTTGATACAAGTAAGATGGACTTGAGAAATTCTTGCTGCCTTATACTCTGAAGCCCCACAGAATGCCCCAAAGCCTCCCCAAGTCCTGCAGTGTGCTGACTGCGTGATGGAAATCTGAGTTACAAGCAATTCCAAATGGCTTGCATGAGACCTGAAGCAGTCAACAGTTTAAAGACTTGTACTGTGGGTACAAAAGCTGTATATGTTTTTTCTGTAAGAAGGAAGTTGTAACTTACCAACAATCGTACGTCCATCTCCTCCTAATTTCACTCGGAGAGGATTGCCTTGGGAATCTTGGAGGTATTTTCCTTCAGCATTTAACACTAGCCCTCGGTCAAGGTCTACAATCTAAAAGCAATAGATGGACTCAATTTTAGCTAGCACAAGAGGAGGTGAAATGAAATGTCACAGCAAAAGAAATCCTGGGGAAATTTATACACAGGGCCTTTAAGATTCACTAATTGATAGTAATCACTGAAAAATAACAGCTGAAGGAAGCAAATTCCAAGCAAGTCTCTGGGCTCCAGAGCTGTACAACCATATTCATACCACCTAATGTAGCTCTCAGGTGCAAAGGAGCAATTCCCTTGATTTTCTTGGGCTGCACGACTCCTAAGGTGGATTCCTGTAATTCCAGTATGACCCTGAATCCTTGTGAAGATGGGATTTAAAAGTATGCCTACTAACCACCAAAAAAGGAAAAATTAAACTAGTTAATTTATATTGAAATAGAAATGAAAACAAGGTAGCTCAGATTTTAATTAGGTCAGCAGACTGAAGAAAAGCCTCTGTCTCATAAAACAAATGTGTCTGGGAGCTTGGATTGAATTCAAGAGCTAACTGCAGTTAAAATCCAGTCCTTGTTGCTATTTCAACCCAAAAGGGCTTAACTGTATGCTATTTTAACCCGAGGTAACAGACACTGAGCCACAAAACACAAAAATGCAAAAGGTGTTAAGTGCTGGGAGGAAACTGGGAAGAGGACATGGGCAACAGATCCAGGTTGGCAAGAGAGACTTACATCTGGTGCTGAGGAAAAGACTGCAGCAGGAAGGACAGCAGATCATGAGATCAGTCTCTGAAGCCCTCCAGGCCCTAGATTTGGCATAGGTCCTCTTGCTTTACAAGGTGTTTGCCCTGCTTGCAGCAATGCCTTCCTCTCAAGAGACAGAGAGAGATGCCCCACGGCCACTCAAGGACCTTTCTTGCTCACTTTCTGGAGTCTATTTAAAGGGCTTTGATCATGGTTTTCAAAATGCCTCCCTTGAACGTGACACACCTGATGCATTTTTATGTTTCTCTATGCAAATGGTAAGACTGAAGTGGCCACAAAATAAAAGTCTTTATGTGTCACACCATGCGTGAGCAGCTGTGCTGATGCCAGGGAGGCTGACCACAGTCTCCTACTGCTCAGCATTTGGGCTAACATGCAGGAAGCACCAGTTCCTTCCCTGCTTTCCTTCGTTATAAATTCATCGGAAAGGATTTTAAAAGACAAGGTCTGAGCATGTAGGCAGCTCATGGGGCTTTCCTATCAGTGGCATCTGAGCTCTTCTGCAAATACCTCTGGAAAGAGGTATTTGAATGTCTGTGAGAATGGCAAAAAACTTAAAGATACCTACGTATGTGCATTTAAAGCATCGTGACACTTATTGAGTAACTTTATATTTCAATACTCTTGCTCACAAGCTTCTACCCGAAGCATGAGTCTGGAAGAAGCATTGCTGAACACATCTTTCACAGTAGTTATGCTGGGCAGTCCCGACTCACATTGCACAGCAGAGAAGCCCTGAACCACTGGGGAGTGTAAGTCCCACTGACTTTGAAGAAAAAATGTTTCACTAAATCTCTACATTTATGGGAGTAATGTTATAGTTGAAAATTGGAGCCATCAGGCTTTAAATCCAACATTTAAAATGTTAAAATAACAAAATCCAGAATTTTTCAGTAGATTTCAGTGGAACACTGGAAACTAGACCACTAAGTATAACTTCACTTCACAGCTTCATTGACTGAAGGTACTGCTTGCCTGTCTTTTCTTAATGAAAATATAAGTACTATAAAGGGCCAAAGCATCTTGAATTTGGAGAGAAGGTCACCCTACCCACTTTGTTCCTTGAGGGCCATTGATTACTTTCTGTCCACTTGGTTTTCCATTATTACCAGAGTTTATTTTTCCATTTCCATTTTTTGTTGTAAGATTTGGTCTGCCATTGTAACCTGAAACATAGAAGAAAACACACTATTCTGAAGAAAGCTGTGCAACTTACAAGCCGCATTTTAAATTGCAAATAAAGGCATTTGCTGACTGACCTGAACATAAATGAGAGCAGAAAGAGCCCTCACCACACTCTGCACACCAGGAACTCTATTTCTGCCTGGAGCAACTGTTGTGACACTGTCAGATCCCTGCAGCTTACACAAGCACCTGAAATTGTTTCTTCTTAAAGAGTTTAATCATAGTTTGTCTCTACCATGTTTATTTGGTCTCTTTATTCCCTCTTTTCTTTTTTAAGAAAGCAGGTCAACATTTCTCGATGACACTACAGTCATGAAAATGTTTGTGATATTTGTAAATACTGGAGAAGTGGGATGAGGGAAGAAATCATTATTAAATGCAAACACTTTTTCAATCCTATCCTTACCTATATCCTGTAGTGACAAACTGAAAGAGGAGGGGTTGGAAATTTTCTCTACACCTATTTTTTTTAACCTGCAAAAGGAAGGACTCTCCTGCAGCTGAAAAACCACTGCTGAACAGAAGCACACTCAGGTAAGAGGTGGAGAAGCAGTGGCACTGAGCTGCAGGACCCCAGCTCCAAAACAGAAGCAATTTTCACAGCCTAGCTCAGAGACTTGCCTCCAAAAAAATATAATGAAAACATATACATATATGGACTGGAAACAAATATATTAACTGAACTCTCCTTGGCTATAACTTTGCAATTGCATTGCTAATAGTCAGCTTATACAACCTCCTTACAGAACTGTGTTTTTTTTTCATGCCATACATCTCATCTTCCTCAGCATTATTTAAGGTCTACTCCCATGTTAAAGCTCTTTAAGCTGGTGAACCTCTACTCAATGCTGAGTCTGATTAAAGCACATCAAATGCAATAGCCCAGATGCATGATCCTAATTGTGTAAGAGGGAAACCACATTGAACAAAACGTTGTTATTAAAACACTCAGGTCACTCAATATTATTTTGGATGTTCATGCATCGGAGGGAGAAAAACTATTTCTACTTAGCAAAGTCACTGAGACTGTCTGGGATTCTCCATAGGTCACATGAAGAATTAACAGGTGACACACCTTGATGTGTAGTGGACCCTCTGTTCTACTACCCAGGGTCACCAGATATTCTGCCAGAAAGCAAGTCCATAATTTGGGGTAAATCACAGCTATAAAGGTATTGCATGGTCTGACTGTGACGTACAGATATGAGTAACCCTGAGCTGTCATTTTAAAAAAAGAGAGGAAAGTGGTTTAAAAATTAATTAAAGAAAACATATAATGTCAGGACATCATAAGGAAACCCCTACTGCCTAGACATGGGCAAGGTAGTACTACAGAACCACAGAAGAGGTCTTTTAGCAATCCCCATGATGAAGAGCTATGCATCTGAGAGGTTGTCATATCCTGAGTACAAATGTTCTTTCCATGAGCATTCAGTGAATTCATTGCTCAACAAGAAACATGGCCCTTTTCCCAATGTAGTACCTAACTCTGTCATCTCCTCTGTGGACCATGGGATTCTGTGCAGATCAGACCACAGGACGAAAGGTCTGGGGCACCACATTACACTGATCAGTTAGAATCCTCAAGAACAGGGCTCCCTGAGAACCATCAAAATAAAAAGCAAGATGTTATACTAAATAACTGAATCTGCATTCTGATGGAGGACTTTTCATCTAACTGGTGACCTTAGGAAAAACACAATTAGTGAGAATAGTACAACAAAGACAAGATACCTGGTCTATAAGGAGGTCTGACAAATTGCCGCTGGGAAGGGCTCCGTACCCTGGAGTTCAATAATCGCTGACGAGGAGACAAAGTGGAAGAAGAAACTGTTGGAGAAACAGTGTGTGTGGTGGTAGACACAGGAGAACGTGGCCAGACAAAGCTTGGTTTAGATGGGGTATGCTTTTTAGAAGACTGAGTAATATGTGATGTTATGGCAGAGCTTCCTGGTGATTCAGGAGAAGCCACTTTTAATGTTGAAGTTTTTTCCACCTCTTCCTCTTCAGAATTTACTTTGTGAGGTAGAAGAGTGTCCATAGATTTTCTTTTACTGCTAGTAGTGTCATCGTATGCATTTTTGTTACCTCTAGAAACAGCAGGGGACCATTTTGCTGCCAAAGATGTGGGTTTCTCCTCTACTTCTTTCTGATCATATTCACTGTAATAATCACTCTCTTCATTAGAAACTGACTGACGAGGTTTAGATGAAGAAGATGAAGGAACTTTTTGAGGAAGTTCAGTGTTGGACATTTTTGAGGGCAATACACCATGTTTTTTTTCTGTTTGGGACGCTGTTCTCATAGCAACCCTTGAGCGAGTAGGTAATGAAGGACGAGCTTGTCTCGATGTGGATGACAACCTTGGATTATACTGGTTGTCTTTTGCTGTATCACTGGCAGAACTGGAGTCTGGCTGAATGTGCTTTGGTTTGTAAGAAGGTACCTGAGAACCTGGCTGCGGCTGCTTTGATTGAGATGAAGTTGAACTTCCCTGAGAGAGAGATGAAGGTAATCCCCTAGAAGAGGACACCTCTTTAGGAAACACAGAGTGGCTGCTTGCTTTGTCACTGCCCTCTGTTACATCCTCATCATCATCTTCCTGCAACTCTTCATTACTCTGGGAATAGATGTGAGACGGGAGGCGCCGGCCCCTTGAATGCAGTAAGGAAGAACTGGTTTGTGCCCTCTGTGAAGGCTCTGAGTGGGAGGTCTTCTCCACTGGGAGATGAGAGGGGAATATCTTTCTAGACAAAGACGCACTTGGTTTTGATCGAACAAGTGTTTCTTTTACCTCTTGACTGTCCTGCTCTTCAGGCTTTTGTTTGGAAAGAGAAGATTGCAAAAGAGAATGCTTTTCTGGAGCAGCTGTTCGGCTTTGCTGTTCTTCTGAGTCAAAGTGGGGTGATTTTTCACCATGTGTCTCTCTGAGGTGAGAATCAGAATCGACCTGAGGATTTCTTCTCTTTGAATAGACTGCTGAAGACTGTCTGGAAGAGGGTAGAGAAGGAAATAAAGGATTTTCATCCTGTGAGTCCTCCCTATGATTCTTATCAACATCTTTTCCATTGGATTTGGAACGGGTGGAGGACTGAGAATGAGATGAAGTGTGACCAGAAACAGCAGATCTAGATGAGACTGCCATGGCAGCCAATGTTGAATCCTTCCACGTGTGAGAACTGGAGCTTGAGGATAGCCTTGTTTTCTGTGATCTAGAACTGGGCTGTCCTGCTGTGTCTTCTGCTTCTTCACTGTCAAACTCATTATGGCTATCACGAGCATGGGAACCTGCTGATTTGGACAGACCTAGAGAGCCAGACCTACTGCGATGACCTGTCTCATGAGAGACAGCAGACTGCCGACTTGATGGCAAAGCCAGGCGACTAGGCTCTGAAGTTTTAGAAGATGCTTTCACCAGCATGGGGTCTGGCTTCTCTTCCACATTACCCACAAGATCATTATTTTTGGCAGGCAGAGGATGGGAAGAGGTTTTAGAAGGCATGTTATTGTTGCTTTGCCTCAGTTGCTTTGTTTCATTATCTGTATATTTGGGAACAGATGAGGCAGAAGAATGTTGTGCTGAGGATGGTAACACTGCTGGTGGCTCACGTTTCTCTGTTCTTGTCTGGCGCGACACCTCTGATGCATGGGTTCGAACAGAGGTAAGGACAGGGTGGACTGGACGACCAGGGGACAAGGGTCTAACATTCCTCCTCTGGTCCTGGGCCTTTGGTGGTGATGTTGGAGCTTCTTGGGAGGAATCATGATCATCTGTCACCTCAGTGGACTGGAGATCAGGTTTCAGCTCTCCTGTCTTTCTAGAAGGTAACTGAGATTTACTCAAGACCCCTCGAGTCAAGATTTTATTCTTATATTCAGAAGGAAGATTCTTTTTATCACTAACATTAGGTGAATGAACAGACAATTGCTTAGAAGAAGGTGATGGCCGGGCTTTCGAAACAGAAGAAGTTTGAGAAGATGAGCCAGCATTCTCAGTTTTTTTAGCCTCTGAATTATCTTGCATATTCGTCTTTTGCTGAACAACTGAATCCTCATGGGCATCTAGGGGAAAAAAAAGAAGCGTTTATTCACAATAGAAGATGCACAAAAAACTGACCAAGAGAAGAAACCACCCAGGTAGCAAGAACAAAACAACTTACAAGAATATGAGACAATAACTGTTTCTCTATTAACCAGGTTGTGCAGTACAGCTAAGTTAAATATTGCGTTGTAGAAAGGTACCTATGTGGAATTATTGTATCTTGGGTAAAACTTAGAGCAATTAAACCCAAATATCTAAAAGCAGGGACTGCAACTTTCTTTCAGTGAAACCAAATCTTCAGCAGAGTTTAGTCATATTGATGGCATGGTGCTGCATTATCCCATGTAATGCTGTAGACCCCATTTTTAGTTAGCCCAGCAAATATTCTGAGTAAAATGTTCTAAGTGACTTCCAGGACTTTCAAGCAGGAGTTCTCAGGAATAGGGCAGCCAAAGACCCAAAGCATTGCATTCTTTGGCCTTTGGACAGCAAGAGCACATAGTGTTGCCATGCAGGAAATGGAGTGTGGCATGCACTCATTTAAGATGTTAAAATGTCCATAAGATGTCCTTTTACATGCCGCAGAGTGACAAACACTTATTTGGACACTATGGTCATGAAAAGAACTAATACAAACAGTATTAAGGAAGTAAAATCCCATGGGTTAGATAGAGTGCAGAGGAGTTAAGCTGGTGAGAATTAACACAGCCGGGACTAAGGCAAAAACGGGCAAACTACGCAACTGGTTCCTGGCTTGGTGCTCACCTGCTGGGATGACGACACTGAAGGCTTTAGACTGAGGACCCGGTCCCCTCCTGTTTGCTGCACGAATTTTGAAAATATAGCGCTCCCCGGCCTGAAGACCATCTATTATGGCTGATGTTGTAGCTCCAGAGTAGGTGATGGACTTGGCTCCAAACGGCTTGAGAGCCGGGGCGTATGAAAGAATGTATTCTGAAATGATTTGGCAGACGGTTGGAAGGAGGAAACTGAAAACAATCCTGTTTCCAGCGGACAGACTGTATGGGTAGGATGAATTAGAACGTGCATTACTAAAATTAATACACTAGCAATGCACGCCGAGTCAACAGCTGGAGTATAAAGACATGAGAGAGAGATACATACATATATATGTAGGTAAGTTGAACATTTGTTCATCTTAACAGACAAAACCAAATCACATCAGTGACCTAATGACTGAGACAGAATATGTTAGCTATACCTTTGTAAAAATACATAAGCAACAATGCCCATCAAGGTGAAGTGTCATCAAGAGGAGCCAAATGACATCCATGTGCACTTCCAGAGAAGGTGGGGGGGGGGAATGAGAAAATTATAGCAACAACTCCTGCACCGTTTGGTGTACTGCACCTTTTTTTTGTTGATTTTGGATACCAACTAATAAAGAGGAAAAAAATGAGTTCTGAAAAATATAAGTGCTCTAAATCAGAAATAACAGAGGAAATCTATGAAAAGAAAATGCACTGGAGGCAAAAAACATGTATGAACATTGCCATGAAAATATGCACTGTCCTATGACTTGTGGAAATCTAGTCTGAAAGACTGTGCGACCGCTAGGTAGTGCAGATCGCTATGATCAGAATACCTGTTTTGTTATGGCTCACTAACTATGAGCACATTTTATACTTCCCAAAAATTAGAGAAATTTTGAACTTACTGATTAGCTACCAAGATATTTGCAATGAACAACACATGATCCAGAATATTCTTCCAAAACATAACTTGCTCACAATGTGGACAACACACAACTGCATTGCTGATGGCAGCTATATTCACTCCCAAATAAGAATGTTGAAATGTTTTCTTTTCCACAGAAATTACTTTGAAGAAGAATAAAACTGTGTATTCACATAACTAGCGTTCAAAACATCAGTATTAAAATCACATTACATCATTCATCGCTATTAATTACTTTCTGATCCTAATTTCCAACACAGTCTCAACACAGCTATAATTGCACTGTATTGTAAGACCCTAGTCCTGCAAAAGCAATTCTTCCAGTCCACTGTGGTGAAATTCTACCAGTTCCTAAGGCCATATATTCATTTCTCAGCAGTGCTGGAGCCTGAGGTACATACCCATGAAAACACCAAAGAACTTACTTTAATATTGGAAACAATATTACTGCAGTCAAATATAAATAATTCCAGCAGAGTCTTTGCTTAAAGGAGTTTTGGTTGTAACCTACAGGTAAAAATCATGCCTGGATGATTACTCAGAAAAGATACTTCCACCAGGAAATAAGAGCACTGTGGATTTGCCAAACGGGAGCAATATCACGTCCGTACAACAAAATCAAAATCTGATATACTGGGCTTAACTATAGCCAGGTCCAAACACCATGACAGACAGAGCAAAGCAAGGTCTTGTTGCTACTTAAGAAACTCACCCTGCTCTCACCGCTGAGTTTTGGATTACTGTGATGCCTATGCTCTGTCTTAGCTTTCTGTATTGAGAGAAGTTTCACCCCTATAGGAATAATCATGGGCATGAAGAGGAATCTTTCCATTATACCCCCAAAGACTGCAGGTAAGATCTCAGACATCTGCAGGCTTCGTTTTCTTTTCAAATCCTCTGTAAGAGGTACTGGACAAAACCAGGATTTTGATAATAAATTTCAAGGGTTGCCAGCTTGAAACACAAAAACTGTACACAAAAAACCACAGCAACACCTGAGCAGTCACAGTACCACAAGGAAAAAACTCTAGAGCATAATGGCATCTTTAAAAAGAAGAAAGGCACTTTTTCTGAAAAGGGGCCCATATTCATTGTGTTAAGAAATAAGTCATGCATAGTTCATCAAAATAAAGAAAAAAAAAATCAGTGTTTTATATGCAAATACATTAAATGCTCTCAGTTGAAAAATAAATCAATGTATTAGAAGGCATGGTAAGCTTTGAATCTTTTTTCTTTTCCTCTAAGATATACAGGTGTTGTTTCAATTACAGAGATACTGGTGTAGCTTCGGTAACTCTCAGATAGCTACTGCAGGGACATTTTCTCCCACAATTTTGATATGTGGTATAAATATATAAGGACAGGGTTGAAAAACACAAGGATTAAAAGACAAAAATTCCTGATTACCACGTGTCATCAAAATGACCACGAAGTGCTCATTCAGTGATTTTATTTAGCCAGTAAAAATATCTTGCCATTAATTTAGTTTAAAAATTAGGCCTTTGCTGTAACACTTCATACTCAAGAAAAGCCACGATATATTAAACACATATAAGCATTCAGCCCTTGAATACTAGGTATCTTTAAAATCATTGTCTGGGATTAATCATCTAATGATTAGCAGACAAAAACGCACAAAGGCCTACAGACTGCTCAAAATTAGGAGCAGATCTGAAATTTGAGATAATGTCCCTGCATGACCCTACTTTAGGAAATAATAATTCTTGGACACAACTGCAGGTCCATTGAAGTAATTGGCAAGACTTCTACTGACTTCAAAAACGAAGGAATTCCACCACTGCCTTGGAAAACACATAGAGTAGGTCTTGTATGCAGACACAGTATATTTCCCCCCAGGCCAATGGTTTTATAAATCCTGAGATGCTACAGTGCTGATAAGGTACCTCCAAAAACTTGTGTAATTTGAGAACACAATCCTGTCAACCAGGGAAGAACAGGAGAGGCCAAAATATCCGCCTGTTCATTTTCAGAGGGAAACAGGAAAAAAAAAATCCCAGAAAGCTTTTTTTTAATACTATGCAAAAACATAAGTACTGACAAATTATCTTTATGACTATGTACAATAATGTTACAGTACACAAAATTTATGCATGATATCTGCTGAAAATACAATTTGTCCTTGCTTCTTAAGCTGAAGCGTTCCTTCCATGATAAACTAGAAATAAATCACAATATAAACCCACTTAGTTTCTTGGCAACTACTCAACTTTTCCTTCTTCTCCTAATTCTTACAAATCCTTCCAGAAACTTCCTTCTTAAACTCCATTTCAACCTGCTTATTAATGGAAGAAGAGGTAAACTGCGCATACACGATACCCCAGAAAGCTCTCTGACATCCCAGGCACGGAGTGACAATGGCTTCTCAGTGGTGCTGTGGAGACTCTGGGCTGGAAACAAGACAATCTTGCTTGGGTATAAGCCATTAACAAGTGAAAAAATCCTGGCACAGCAAATTTTCCAGCTTACTGTGGGGCAGCAGTCTGGCTTTGAGAAGACCAGATCCTTGACGGAGTTAGAAACGAACACTGATAACTCACCTTTGACTTTTCCTTCACTCTCTGGGAGAGCATCCCAGGATGCTGCTACAGAGGTTGGTTTCCCCTTTAGTGGCCAAACATCCAAATTTTCAGGTGCACTGGCAGGAGCTGCAAAACAGCCATACGCAGAGGAGGCAATTAAGAAATGTGAAGGAATGCAGCACACACCTTTTGCTCCACCTTCTCGTAGCAGAGATTACGATATGGCTATTTCAAAGATAAATGTGAAGAGCACACATGGCTAAGGTCTATGCATGCCTCTGTTTACATCTCTCTCTCAGACTACCATAGTGAAATTTTATTCCACATTTTTAGGAACAGGATGTCTGCACAAGACTGTTACTGTGGCTTAGCTGGAATGACATGGCAATTTGGTTTTTAGGGACCACTTCCCTGTGCCCATGGGGCCTGACAGCTTCTCCATGGTGGAGAGAGGATTTAAATTTGCTGCCCACAGAGTGGGATGGAAGACATGCTGCTCTTCCCACTGAAGGGGCTCATCCAGCTTCAGGGGTGCAAAGTGCTGACTCATCCCACAGAAATACCCCTTGTTCTTGTCGTATCACAAGAGCAGCCTGGTGTGCTCTCCAGGGCACTACTGCAGGGATGCAGGCAGCAGCACTGAGGTTTTCCCCATATTCCTAACCCTCTGCTGCCCCAGGCAATCACTTATTCTGACTTTCCCTCAAGCCAGTTCATTCCACAGCTCAAATCACAAGTCCTGTGTTACCCCAAGGACCTTTTGAATACATACCTGCCTCCGGGGTCCGCTGGTAAACAGATACACTCCATTTGCCTTCCTTTTCTCCCTCCAAGATTTGAATGGCAAACTCATACATAGTGTCTGGCACTAAATTTTCCACCAGTGCCCGCCGGTTGGACACCTGCTTGTAATCCCACCTTGCCGATTCCCCCTTTTCCCGATAGCGAACATTATATTGCCTGGGATCAGAAACACAGGAAAATAAAAATTCGCATGTGGAAACCTAGCATTAGCAGAACTATAGAGGGATGGGGATGCACTGCCCTCAGCTAATCTGTTGGGGCTTACTGAGGAACCTACCAATTTGCAAGAAATAAAGTACCACCACCACCACCAAAAACCAACATCTTTTAAACAGTTTTGCCATCTTCTAATAGAGTGTGATCACTTTCACCCCAAAGGACGGACTACTCTTTCCAGACTCTTACTCAAAATATCCTCTTCCCCAGGGGGAAGTTACAGAGGGCTCCACACCACTACCTCACTGCCCCATGGCTGTAAGCAGGGTTGGATGGCTGGGAGCCCTTTGCTCCCAGAGCAGCACCGGCTTGGTTCCCACATGGCTGCCTAGACAGCTGCTTCCAGAAGGAAACAGAGAACATCTGAAATTATCAGTTTTCCTGCTGTGACCCTCAGGGTATTTCCACACCAGGTTGCACAGCTCTTCAGTGTTTCCAGGCTGAGCAACACAGTCCAGTTGCTTTCAGACCTTTGGCAGTTTCCAGCTTCATTTCCCTGTTTGTTGTGGTCTCCATCTGCTGTGGGATGCTACTGTGAGTCAAGCTCTCCCACCCACAGGAGCCCTTGACCTGCTCAGCCTCAGCTGCATGGGGCTTCTGGAGGGTTAGAGGATGCAGGGTGCGATGATGGGTGTCTTTCCCATTGCAGTGATGTTTCCTTCATTCACAGTATGATTGTCTCAAAGCTGTAGTCTGTTTTGCCAATCCAACCCAAGACCTCACCTCTGTGGGCTGTGCCCTGTCCCCCACTTCTTCTTTCCCCATGCACACATGGGGATTTGCTGACCGTGGTGACATACCAGCATTTGAACTGCAAAATATCTGCAGTTGGGACTGGCGACATTTCAGTACTTACACAGATCTCTAAATACTAACGGTGCTGGGAGGCAAGCTAAATTATTCTCATAACCAACAGTAATTAAATAAACGCAAAAGCATTCAGTAGTGTGTTGGCAGCAGTTCCCCTTCAGTACCTATTTAAAAAACCACAGGGTTAACTACCTATTTGCTGCAACCTTCTGTTTTTCATACAGTGGGTCTGTCCAAGTAACGAGCACGGACTGAGAGGACATAACTCGAACAGTTATGTCGTGTGCCACCTCCACCTCTTCCTCCTCTGAAACGGCAAAACAGAACAGTATATCAAAACCAACATAAATTTCTCATAAAAACCAGTAAATGTCTTCAACTGATACTATAATACTCGTGTGAGTAATTCAGCACAGCTGAATTACAAATACAAGTAGGAGTGGGAAACCAAGTAGATTGATTACTGATGGTATCCCACGGAAACACCATTTCTTTTGTTAGTTGTCTGCCTAAAAGACCAGAGTACTAATATATTCTATGGTCCTTCAGTATTCTATTGGTGCTCAAACTATTACTTACAGCAAATGTTTTATTAGCATACTGGTATTCATCATCTCTGGCAAACTCACTGCTAGTGCTGCCTGGACAGCAGAAACTTTGTCTTATGAAAAATTTCAAGATTTTAAAATTTGGTTTCATTTTGAAGAGCAATAAAACCTTCTCCAAAAAATTCTTCACAAGGGAGAATTCCTGCATCTTTTATGTTTTTGAGTGCTTCAAACAGGTTATTTGAATTCAGCATTTAATTTTTACGGTACACAAGGCAAAAAAAAAAGGTTAATGAAAAAATCATTGAAATGGGCTATTTTGACATATCAGAATATCTTTTGCAAACAATTTAAAAATTTTTAAAATGAGTAAAACTAACTTGATTTTTTTGAGGTTTTTAATTTTGATGAGACTTCCTTTTCCCTCTGTCCATCAGAGTGTTTCTAGTATAGTCTATCTACTGGCACATGAAACATTTTTAACTTTTTTTAATTAGTGACACAGAGACTATTTCCCAGTATCCCAGAGGCACAGCATGTACAAGGTGCAACCTACCAGAGAGAGTTTTATAGATAAATAATACTGGAAGAAATATTGATGTCTCAGAAAAGCAAAGTTCAGAGTACAATTTCATTCTCTAGGGATCCTGTTCATGTATGTCTGAAATGGAGGCAAAGATTGCCCTTCTTTTCAGCAGGTCGCACATTACCCCAAAAACCAGCACTGCCTGCAGACGGCAGGAACCAGGGAGGCACTTTTCACCTCTTCCAATCAAGCTTTTAATGCAGAGGGTTTTCAGGCAGTTACAGGTTTTCCAAGCCAAACAGCTACTATGCAAAAGTAGCCGAGAAGACCCATCTACTAAGTGGCTTAGGGGGCCTATTCACAAGTGGCTTGCAATGAGAGCAGCTGGAGAGAGAAAGTGAGCATGAGAAATGGATGGCATTGCCTCCCCAGAACAGGTGTGAGGTGGATTTCAATACACTCCAGTTCCTAGTTCTGACAAACGCTCCCAGGCACATGGTGTGATTCTTGGGGTGGTCTGTGCAGGGCCAGGAGTTGGACTTGATAATCCTGGTGAGTCCCTTCCAACTCAACGTATTCTATGATTTTATGGCTCTATGATCACTATCAAAATATCCTAAACACTCTGCCACTCCCATGCATTTGCATCACAATGCAAGGGGGCAAGAAAGTGTCCTGGCATGGAGAGGACTCAGAATCTCGCTGATCCTTTTTAACCTTGGCAGTAGTTTCCAAAAGAAAGTAAAAACCTTTGCTGACCAGATTGATGCTTCTGGAAAAGGGGCTGGAGATCTGGGAAGATGGCACACCATTGTGGGGGGCCCTGGTTTTGACTTAATCAAGTCCTCTCCTGCAGTTACTGAAATGCATAACATTTGTCAATAGATAAAGAGGATGAGACTAAAGAAAAAACCACCAAAACAAAAACCCAACTCAGAAACTCAATCAACCATGTTGTAGAGTTGTATTACTTTATCAATCCTGCTTGAATTAAAGAAGCAATTGGAGACATCCACAAAGCTCTCTAGCACACAGAGAAAAACCTAGCAGCTCCAGCACCAAAAGACTTGCAGTCTAAAAATCATAAAGTTATCTCTTTGTATCCAATCGTCTCCATTCATTGACAGCAGATGTGAAAGAAACATACCTGTGACTTTTCTTTTAGCTAAAGATGACCTATAGACAGGTTGGCTCCGTCCCTGGGAGCTCCTTGATGGCAGCGAAACCACATGAACTGACTCAGAGGCTGTACATGCAGGGGAAAAACAGAGGTTTTTCTGTCACCCTTCTCGTTGAAAAGAAATAACGGATTTTAGAGCGGTCCCACTGCATGCAAGGAAAATCTGGGATATGGTTCATCTCTCCACCCCTTCCCTTTGCTGTTAATATGAGTAACTCACATATCAATCTCTAACACAGCATCCAGTTCTTCTACAATTTCTACCCTATTCTTTAGGTAATACCCCACTCTCTGTTAAAAACACATTATAGAATACAATCATAGCAAGAATTTTCATTTATAGGAAGGCGGCTTTTTGATGGATAGAACAACATGTGATCTGTGATCACCTAGCAGCCACAGAGGATTACAGGAGTGTGCTAGCTAAACTGGGTGCTACCAGGGAAATCCAACTCACCTAGTCTTCTTGCTTCCTGGTTTTGTCGCTCTTGAGGCACTGGAGCATAGCTCATCCTTCGGCTGCTCTCTCCATACCCACGGGGATAACCTTGGGATCTGCTGCGTGGACCTCTGAAGCCTGCTCCATAAGGTGGCTTCCACCGAAAAGGTAACTTGCTATCTGGAGACTGGGCACGCACTCTTCTCAGAGGTCTGCTTGGCGTGTCCTTCTCTTCAAAAAATAAGCAAACACAACATACAAACCCCATCACAGTTATTATGAAGCACATGACATGTACAGCAGTCCACGCGTGTCTGTCGTAAGCACATCTATTAACATCAGAATAAAGGGCATAATTTTATAGTTTTTTATTTTTTTCTATACAACTAGATTTCAGTAACAGCAAGTTTCCAAGTTGGATGCACAATACTCAGTGTCTTTTCCCAGGCCCTTCAGACTGGTGCAAGACTCCAAAAGTGAAAACATACCATAACACAAGGACTCCTTCCAAAAACTGGGAATGTTGTAGCTTTCCTGTTTAATCTTTTCCTTTTCCTTTTTTTTTAATCCCTTTTCCCTAGTTGAAGCACACTAGTACCTTATTTTTTTGGCAAATGCTAAAGCTCAATGTAAAGTGAAACACAGAACTATTTCACTATTTTTAAACTTTCTTTTAGAAAGAAATCCACATTAAAAGCTAGTTCCTTTCCCCTAAATGCATCACTAATGATTCTCTCCCCAACAGACTCATATTTAAAAGGTCTGTTCTGCATGTGCTTCAACTCCTGACTTCCAAAACTCCCAATATAGGATCCCTTGAGCATCCAGTTCTTTAAAAGGTACCTTACGCAAGTCAGGTGGGGTTTTTTTTACATTTGCTGGCAAGTTGGCAGCATTTCTTTTAAGTGACACTGATGCAAGGATTACTCAAGTAACCAGTTTGGTTCTCTGCACAGCATCTCCAGTCTTCATGGCATTCTCCATTGCATACCACCTGCACTATGTGGTGCACTGCACTCAGTGCAGGTTGAAAGCAGACCTGATAGCAGGAAGAAAAGGGCTGACGGCACCACCCAAGACTGAGATCTCTCATACTTGTAGCAGTTTTTGCCTCTTATCTTTTACATTCTACACTCATAACAGGTTTTTCTATCTTTTCTAGCAATGCCATTCCGCCAAGGACAGAGGTTACACACTGTAGTCACACCCCCTCACGCACTGGTTATGTCAACCATTGACAACACAGCAGTGTCAAGAGAACAAGGTGCTGGGGTAGAGACCCACCAGAGACATGGACAGACAATGAAAGACAATGCACCAAAGTACCAGTTCAGGAGCTCATATTTATTCATTACACCACTTAAACGTTTTGCTTTAAGTATGTATTGATGGTTGCACGTCCCTATATACGCCAGAAATAGGGTTTTTTTCCAATATTTCTGCTTAGTAACACCTTCTATAACCAAAATGCTCACTAGTCTTGATCTGTTGACAAGTTTGCATCTTCTTAGACACTCCTAACACACATTCTTCTATTAAATTACCATTTGGAAAGAATCATAGCAACTCTCCGAGCTATTTGCAGAGCTTCTCTTGAAACCCCTGTGAGAAACACAAGGCTTCAGTGTTGAGGTGTGTAACATATTCAGGGAACTGCAGAGTTGCAGGGAACTCTGCTTTTCTAGTGAAATACTGTGCAGCAGCTCAGCATGGTAAACCATACCTTTTTATTTTGCCTACAAAGACATGAATCATCAGTTTAAACACATGGACGGACTTCAGCAGCTTGTCTCTTTTGATGGTGTTCCATACCACCTCAGCAAAATGAAGCAGCTATAAAAGCAGATTAATCAGCCAATTAAGCTGATTTTACAGACCTTGTTTTGTTGCCAGAGCAGGGTATATTAGCTGGATCACAACAGTGGAACTGGTCCCAGGTGTTTAACAAACAATAAATGCCTTTTGTTCGACAGTAAATATAGTTGCTTTCATGAGGGCCCCTGACCACTTTCCAAGGAACATTCTCAGTCATGTATTCGATTAAAAAAAACCACCTGCTCCCAAGGGGTCTCCTTTTTTGGCTCTCCTGAGCAGTTGCACAACACAGATTTCAAAAGCCTTTGAGTCCCTGATTATACAGTAACACATCCTTCATTCACAGTATCACCATGGGGAACTGAAAGAGTGCAAAATCCAAGTTGGAACAGACACCTGGACATCTCTTCTCAACCTCCTGTTCAAAGACAAACTCTCTCCAACACTGTGTGAAGCCAGACCTGGCTTTCCCTTGCTCAGTTTTCAGAATCTCTCAGGATGAAGATGTTACAGTCTCACTGTGGACCTGCTCCAGTGCTGCACCACCTGCCTATGGTGAAAGGTTTTATCATAGAATTGTTTAGGTTGAAAAACCTGTTTAGGTTAGTTCAACCTGTAATCCAGCACAGCCAAGTCCACCACTAAACCATGTCCCTACGTGCCTTATCTACATGTCTTTTAAATACCTCCTGGGGTGGTAGCTCACCCATTTCCATAGGCAGCCTGCTCCACTGCTTGACCACCCATTCAGTGAAAAAGATTTCCTAGCATCTGATTTAAGCCTCCCCTAGCACAACTTAAGACCATTTCCTCTTGTCCTGTCACTTCCCATTTGAGAGAAGAGTCCAACCCCCACCTTGCTATAGCCTCCTTTCAGGTAGTTGCAGAGAGCAGTAAGGTCTCCCCTTAAGCCTCCTCTTCTCCAGGCTGAACCACCCCAGCTCCCTCAGCTGCTCCTGGTAATACTTGTGCTCCAGACCCTTCACCAGCTCTGTTGCTCTCCTCTGGTTATGCTCCAGCACCTCAATGTCTTTCTTGTAGTGAGGGGCCCAAAATGGTACACAGTATTTGAGGTGTGGCCTCACAAGTACCAAGTACAGGGGGATGACCCCTTCCCTGCTGGCCACACTGTTTCTGACACATTTCCCTAATGTCCAACCCAAACTTCCCAGACTGCTACTTACAGCTGCTGCCCAGCGTTACAATAATTTACGTGCCTTGCCACCATGAAGAAGTGGCTTTCTTGCATCCTCCTGTCAAGTAGTGGTTGGCTGCTGAGGGATGTTGCCCTGTCCTCCTGTGTGTCAGACTGGGCCAGTCCCACTCCCTCATTCTCTCATTGTAGCCCATGTGCCATAGGCAGCCGCCACCTCCACAGACCTCAACGTATCTCCTGAGTGTGCCGGCCCTGGCCGGAGGGAAGTAACATCTCCCCTTGACCAGCCACCCTTTCCCAGGTGCCTGTAGTTTTTGCCAGGCTGCAGTGCAAGCACATCACGCCGGTTTCCTCTTGGCGGCCCCATAGGCTCACCAGCCCAGGGTAGCTGGGAGGAACACTACAGACCAGTGAAAGCTGCAGCTTTCATCTGGAATTAAAACAGAGAGTTGCAGGGACAAAGGATATAAAAGGAACCAGCCAGCCAGGGAGCCATATGGAAAGCATTCAGTCTAAAACAAATGTGGTCTTAGGCAAAGAGAAGTTTATCAGCTCTAAAGCTGAATGCAGGGGATCAGCTGAGATTTTAAAACCAGGGCTTTCCATGGTTTCTGTTACTTTCCTCATAGCACCACACTCTACTGCTCATTTCTATTCCCATTTCACTAGTTAGTTCCAGTTTCTGTTTATCTTTCCTTGTCACAGTTTGACCAGCAGGAATCTGAAGGCACCCAGAACGAAACTACCAGAAACGGTTTAAATGGCTTTGCTGATAACTGCTGATCCATCAAAACCAGCATTTTTGTGTGAAGTCTGTGCCAGGCTTCACAAGAAAGGGATTTCTCATTAAAAATGAAGAGTAGCCACAAGACCTTGCCACAGCCATCAGATTGGTCTGGGATAAGGGCCTGAAGGTCGGGACCTTCAGCCACACAGAGGAAGAAGATAAAGTTTGGCTCACACCTCCTCCCATGAGTACCTGCTGGGCTTCTGTCCTGCTGGCTTAGCCATGCCAAAAAGACAGTACGTCCCAGTCAGGACATTTCCCACTCCTTAAGTTCCCCACAGGACATGAAGTCACTGTCTTCTGCAGTCACAGTCCTTGCATATCAGCATTCTCTTGCCCTCATCTCCTGCTCTCGTCTTGGCTCCAGGAAAGAGTCTGGATTTCCATAAGGAGGATAACCCTGGGACTGTAGAGACTAAGCAACAAAAGAAGCTCACTGTGTCCTAAAGACTAGAGTTTGATCCTCCTGGCCAGGCTCAATCATCTTCAAAAAAAAATCAAACCAACAACAATAACAACAACAACAAACACCCCCCCCCCAAAAAAAAATTGTCCAAAACAAGCTACACTCATCAAGGAATGGGATGGAGAAAGAAATAAATCCCAGGCATCAATTACGTCATTCGGCTTCTGAAGTAGCCCCTTTCCGTAAGGATACTGAACTCACCAGGAACAACAGTCTTGAACAGTCTTAAAAGAATTAGAACAGGCTGCCACTACAGGTCAAGCACTATGAAGACACATCCCATCACCCTCCTGCATCACCAGGATACCATTCACTGTACATCTAGGTGTTGGATGTGAACATGGAGATGGCATGATCTGAACCCACTCAAATCTTTTTTGTCACACTGGGCTAAAGAAAGCAAAACCTCTTGAAAAATCAAACCATCATTTCAATGCTAGACGCAGGGAGACAAGAACAGGTCCAAGAAAAGGGATGTGGAAAGGAAGAGTTGAAACAGGAGACATCAAAGTCAGTGAAAGATCTACTATAATAATATTAAATGTGACACAGAACACACACAGACACCTGAAGCAGAGAGGGAAGAAACTGAGAAAAGGCTAAGAGTGAAATAGCATGGGTGGAAAGGAGGCAAGGATGAGACAGAGCTGTAGCCACTGGATGCTGGGCTTCATCCACCTTCAACACAACCTTGCACAAATCTTCCAGCGTCCTCCAAACACATTAATGTGTCACTAAAAACTGCCTCTCTTAAGCACCAATATCCACTAGATATACAAGTACACCAATCTCAACAGCAGTGGTGTGGAGATCTATAAACAAAACCTCATCCTTCTCGAGGTAGAGAAGACACATCAGATTCTACCTGTGAGTTGGCACTCCCAGTGATGGAGGAAGTGGTAGATCTAGCAACGGGGGAACCAAGCACAGAAACCCCAATATCTTGCTCACTACCTGGCATAACACATTCCCACGTCACTTCACATTGTACTGCTGCTCACTTGCAGCATCAATTCCACAGCTTCACTGAGGCCAGCTGAATCCAATCCAGATAAATGGGCATCCAGTAATGGCCCAGGACACCGGTCACTCGTAGGGCCCCTGAGTGGTGGGGAACATTACCACTGCTTCCCTGGGCTGCAGTCTGATCCTGCCAAGCATTTCTCCCTTCCCTTTTAAATGGTCTAAACTTGGACAGGCTGCCAGCTTCTCAGCAGAAGATGCCCCCATCAGGTCCCAAAACAAGATTTCGTGTCAACATGGAAGCTGCACAGCTGACAGCTACTACAGTGCTTGTGGTTTCTCCTTTCAGAGACCGTAGATATGACCTTTACAAATGAGTAAAGGGCTGCAGTTGTCTGTTCTCCATCTAACACCTACTCTGGCACACCAAGAACTCAATGGGATTTCAGCAAACCTTGGATGAGGTCCTAACTCCGTAGAAATGAAAAAGCTAAGTCTTCAGATGATTTCACTCCCAAACTCCTTTATTTTTCTAATAAATTCAATCAAGCTACAAAGTGCGTGATTGAATTGAAGGTTGATTCTTCCTCATCTACCCATTTTTTACTCCATAAATATCTCTAAAGTATTTTTTCACTTTTGTTCCAAAATAAATATGAGTGTTCTGGACCTCCACTCTGGCCAAACTAAACCAACGAAATCATCTTCAGAAATAATCTAAAGAGCTACCTGCAATTAAGTAAAATAAAATCCTTTTCTATATCCTGGAAAATGAGAAAGAGTCACTCCCTTGTATTCTCTTCAGTGTAGAAATCCAACATTACCTAGAGCTACAGGAATTTGTGTATAGTATCTTGGCCTCAAAAAAACAGGGCTGATTAAAGCCTTGGTATTGATTTTTCACAGATGAAATGTCCACTAGTATTGCCAAAATTTCTGTCTGTGTCAGTACTGCAGGAGAACAGTTTACAAAAGCATGAGGTCTAAGCTGAGGGTAAGACATCCTCTAAACAACCACACAAGGAGGCAGCTTGCACTTGCCAAATCACACAGATTCTTCAGAGGGTCTCATCAATTATCTAGCGAAGAAAAACACAAAACAGCTCCAGAAGACAGGGGACGGCCCCTAGTAATCAATCTATAACTGTGGAGAAAAACATACTAAGTACCCCAAAACTATTAAGATACAAGCACAAAAAAATAGTTGAAATTTGAGGTCACAAAAAATTAGGCATTTCAACTTACCACCATAAGTCTACATACAGATTTTTCCTTTTGTCTTCCCTAGTCAGCAAAAACTTTTCTACACTTTGCTTCTATGTGCCATAACTTCAGGACTGGAAAACTGGACCTATAAAAATGTGTTCTGCTGCAGAAAAGACACATACCTGGCATAGTCATTAGACAACATCAATATAGTTTATAAACAGTTATCAATTTCTGTTTTCATTTCAGGTAGAAGTCTGGGAGACTAAGCCCAGTGACTCAGCCATGGGCAAAGTAATAGCTTCAAAGCAGAAGTTTTAACTGCTTAGAGATAACAACGTCATCAGAAGGCCAAAACCGGCAGCTTTCAAATGAAATCCTGCAATGGGCAACTTGACCAAAAATCATCATTGTTTGCACTGCAACAGCAAATTTGTGGGATTTTTTTTTTATTTGGTTGTTTTTTGGGTTTTGGTGTGGCTTTTTTTTTTTTTTTTTTTTTTGGAGGGGGGAGGCATGTTTTGGTTTTTATTATATTTTTTAATTGAGGTCTAAGCACCAAATGAGACTTACTGACTCTGGACCCTGGATTTAAGACTACTGCTGCTTTACCAGATGAAACAGTATGGAAGATTAAATAAAATGCGCTGAACTGCTCATTCATCCTCCTCCAAGATCCTTGTCTTAAGTCCTTAACTGCTCCCTAAGCTCAGTCAATTGTCCTCTGAAGTAAGAACCTTGCACCACTGCCAAGGTGCAATCGAGCTGAACAACTCAGTTTACAAACACTCTGCAGAACTCCTTTCAAATCCCCCCTGCCAGGACTAGAATAGTACCTCAGCCAGAGGTGGTTCCTAGATCTCTGAGCAGCAATACTCCTCTATACCATGCATTCCCATAAGTGTCCAAGCCTGGATATCACCATGAAGGTATCGACTGTACTTGTAGCAAAAAATGATAGTGAATTAATGAACAGGAAAAAAAGAGGCACTACCTTTTGATGCTTCAGCTGGGAATGCTAAATTTAATTCCATTTGTGAGGTAAGGCTCTTCGTAACACATTTGCACTCCTAAAACCTATTGTATTGGCCACTTCTAAATGCAACTGCTTGATCAGTGGCACTCCAGCTCAGAACACATGAGGCCAACACATCCTAAGGCAGCTCTACAATTGCCCTTTTTTTGACAACTTGTGAAACAAAGGCAGGCATCTGCCCCGGCGTGCAGAAAGACTGAGTGATACCAGTCCCACATGAGGCACCAGGAAAGCCAGGGAGTAAAGCCTCATACTCCTGTGGCATTTCGTTCTCAAAAATACTTTGCAACACGATCATGCTCCCAGTGGGCACTGTTTTCCAAAAGAAGTTCTACCCCTTCCAGTACGTAAATCACTCTGTATGTTGGCTTTAAGGGTTGGGACAATTCTGATACACCATTTTATTTTCTCCCCCAATTTGAAATAGATTATTAAATGGAATGTATTTGAAAAGGAGAAAGCAGAGCATTGCTAGCAAAGCCAGGCGTCGAAAGCTCTATAGTCCTTCATGCAATTTAACGGCTCTCAACCCAGTTGTTATTCATGAACAGGAAAAGAAAAATGTCATTTTACCATAATTGAAAGAAATGGGGAAAAGAAAAGAACCCATCTTTCTCATTCAGCAATCCACAGAGGAGTGGCTGTTCTCCTCACCTTCACGTACTCTTACTGTTAACTACTGCCATACAGCTATCCCCAAGCCACATCAGCAGAAAAGAAGAAAGAGGACAGACACAATACCACAGGAAGATACTTGTTTTCCACCCAAAAATTAAGGCACCGTGTCACTTTGGCAAAGTATTACAGGATATTTCTTTTAAAATTATGGTTTGATAGAAGTTCCGTTGAGAAAATGTGAACAATTCTACCAGCTTCAATGAGGGTTGGATTGGGGCCATCTCAAGAAGAGTTCACTCTGCAAAGATATTTCCTGCAGTCAGTGAGCCAGCTCAAACAGTGCTGATGTGGCCCTCTGAACCGAGATGTGCTGACTGCTCTCACTCCACAAGACCCAGAGCACTAGCTCTAGGGGGGATCTTCACTAACATGTGTAAATGCCTAAGTATATGACCAGACAACGTAGGACAGAAATGGGAGAACAAATCCACCGTCAGGCTTACTGCGTCAGTAGGTCCCCTACCATTTTAAAACACAGTTAGCCTTGTCCTTACGTGGGCTGATCAACTTTTTAATGCCTCTGATTTATACTCTCAGTATCAGATCTCCACCTGGAAATAAGCTAATCAGTTAAAGCAGGGGAAG